GTAGGGCGGTCGCTGAGGGTCCGGTGTAGGGCTGAGATCGGCGCTTGTTAGTTTAGGATGAACCGGTAGAGGCAGGTGGATTTAATAGATGAGGATCCCGCGGTCTAGCGACTAAGTGACAGGTCTAGATAGTGGCGAAGCTAGGGCTCAAACCCTCACCCTTGGCGACGGGGCCTGGGCTCTGTCCGCTGCAGAGGGCGCTCCGGAGAGTCGCTCCGGGAAGGCCAGGGAACTGGGGAGCGTTTGTTTGGCGAAGAGGGTGCCCCAGTGGGGTGCTTTGGCTGTGCTTCCTTTTTCTAGGGAGGTGTGTAAGGGAGTCAGAAGCCCTGGACCGCGAGTGCAGGCGCGGTTGGTCTCTTTGAGAGGGGCGAATGCTGAGTAGATTTTTGTTTGGAGGCATGACAGATGCCTCAAGACCTCTTTGGGAAGATAAGAGACCTGAAACTATCTGGAACTTTTTTTTTTTTTTTAAATGGCAGGCTGCGTTAGTATCAACTGATAGTCTAGGGTTATTTACTGTTTGCCTGCGGATGGACAGGGCCCAAAGGAGTGGGTTGCCCACTGGGTCAGTGCCTTTGTGCCTCACTGGTGGCACTTTTTGCGTGTGAGGAGGGGGAAAACATTGGGTCAACAGCCAAGACAGTGGCTAGCCACTGTTAGAATGCACAAGAATCACCTGGTGTGCTTGTTAAAATGCATTTCGGGCTTCCCCTCACCTCATTCTGACTAGCTCTGGAGTGGCACCTGAGAATTGGCATTTTAACAAACACATTTGATTCTCATGCTGAGTATTGAGAGACTTTTTTCCTCATTCAAGGGTCTCGAGCGAGGGATGAATTTTTTTAAAAATAAACTTTTAATGTTAGAATAGTTTTAAATATGCAGAAAAGTTTTGCCTAGACAAAGTTCTCATTTACGCTGCAGTAGTTTCTCCTGTTATTTGCATCCCACATTAGGATGGTACATTTGTCATAACCAATATTAATAATATTAATGAAAGTCCGAATTTCCCTTCATATTTCCTTAGTTGTTACCTACTGCTCTTTTTATGTTCCAGGATACCATCCGGGATACCAATTACATTTAGTTGGCCTGTCTCTTTTTGTCCTCTTTTGGCTGTGACCATTGGGATGAGTTGGTGTCATCTGGGTGTTCCTTAAGGTTTTTGTGAAGGGAGACATGAAGGCCACTCCAGTTTTGTGTAGAATTGTGTGGGCACAGTTGATAATTTCCTTAGGTCCCTGGTCATGCTGTTAGATGGCCTTCAGACATGGGAGCTTGCTTCAGTAGAATGATTGTTCTTGGCTCCAAACCAAATTTATTTGTTCCTATTCCACATTCCTTGTAACCTTTGTCTTGTTTCATTCCCTTCTCTGTAACCTTTGAGTCCGTAAGATTTACGGTGGATGATCTTTGGGTGAGAGGGATTTTCTTTTTTGTACCCCAGACCACAGGTAAAGCTAATTTTATTTCAAAATGTTAAGGCTGAACTCTTGAATGGGTTGTTTGTTGAGTTGAGTCAGATGGAACTTGTATCCTCAAATGCAATTCAAAAGTAGCTCTGAATGCTTGCTTGGTGGGTGGATATTATGTGCTGGTCTCAGCCTATCGATAACCAGTGTTGTGGTTGGATTGGTTCTTATGATTGCAATGCCCTCAGCAATAACCATCAGGAAACTTGGAAAAAAGGTTTATTACAAGTCCTGGAAAGATCATGGTAGATTGCTTCGTATCTCATTGAACACCTGGGAACACAGCAAGTTTGTAGGTAGAGGAAGGGGGTGTGTGGACCTAGGGGTTTGATTTTATTGGGGTCCAGGGTGAGGTCCTAGTGTTGTGCAGACTCACTCTATTGGTGAATTTAAAATTTAAAAGCGGGAACTTAAAATGCAGGAAAAGAAAAAAACAAGCAGCTCAAATGGTTAGTTATTGGAATTAACCAAAGGAGCTTAAGCTATCTGCCCCCACAACCCGCAAACCTGGCTCAATATCTAGTTGTGTGACTGTCAGTGTGTTTATTTGAGATCTTTGAAGTGGATGACTCATCAGTCAAAGCTTAAATCAAGCACTTGCATTACCAAAAAACAAAACAAAACAAAAACAACTCCAACTCTCAGGGCTTACTATATGATCCACCCCTGAAATTGAGTCTTCAGAGTCAGGATGAGGACATTAACTGTCTGGGTGGCTGATATGCTAAAAGTTAGGGGTAGGGCATGTTGTAACCTAGAAAGTACACACCTAAATAGGATTATAGTAGCACTCCTATAACATACAATTAATAGTCTGAGGTCCAGTCCCTAGCCATTGTCCCAAGCTTGAAAGGTCCTGCCATGAAACCAGGTGAGTGATCTAGGGGCCCCAGGAATCTATTCAATGATTTTGGTAGTATTGCAAAATATTTTAACATCTTGGGCCTTCTGGTGTAAGTAGATTTGAACCTGTCCTGATTTGGGAGATTGTGCTATATCTTATCAAAGCAGTCTCTTAGTTCTGGGAATAGATCAGTTCAGTTAAGGGTCGTATCTCATTTCAGGAGGTGGGCTTCCAAAGTTAGGAGTACGTGGTTCAAGGAGTAGCATCAGGTTATGTAATAAGAGGCATTTATATGGAAACAACAACAAAATACAACAGTTAATGGTTGGAGCAAACTGTAAACCCAGTCTGAGTCTTGAGTGTGGCCAGTTGAAAAGATTTCTAGACATCAGGCTTGAAGCATCTTCAGATAGAGTGAAGGCAGTCAGTGGCAGTCTGACAGATTTCTTAGTTTGTACTTTGAATGTCTCTGGTGATTGTGTTTAATGGTCTGCGAAATAACAGGCACAGAGATCGTCCATATGTGGAGCTGTTGTGATTTCTCTGAAGTTTATATTTGTCCCACTTTCACTTGCATGACTTCAGGAAAAGGTCAGTTTTCATCCTCATTCATTCCAAGTCAGACGAGTGGGAGAAAAATTGGAAACTAATTTGAAGAGTGGTAGCCAGATATTGGAGGAAATGGGAGGAATTCAGTATCCAGTCCAGTTTACGGGTAGAAAACCTCAAAGACTGGAATCTGATATCCACACGAGTGTCCTACAGTTTCCCATTGAAACATAATTTTTCTCTCTATAGTCACCCCCTCACTTCTATCAGAGATAATCAAAGTAGAACGAATTTGTTTGTGAAATAAGTCTATTCTCGTTAAACTTGGCCTGATTATTTACGTAAGTGCAGCTAGAATAGTGATTTACCAGAAAGGCTCTTTTGAATATGCTTTGCTAGACCTTTACACAAAGAATCTTAGATTGGACTCTTAAAATCTCTCAAGGCTAGGAAGCCAAGTCAAGGACTTGTCATCAGACTTGGCCTGCAATAGCTATAGATTTGGGTGAATCCCTCCCTTTTTGAGGTTTCCAAAATATGAGGTTCTTGGCCTGCAGGAAGTGACCTTCTTTACTCACCTGGTAAGACTTCTGGGAATTTAGTGAGCAAGATACCAGGCTGATTTTTCAAAGGGGCTTTTTTGACTCCATAAGATCAGCTTTAGTTTCTTAAATTTGGTTATATCTGACTCTTTGTACATCTCTCTCAAATATGACATTCCAGTCACAGCCTTGGTGATAAAACCAATGTTTCTAATTGTGTCCTGTTATAAGGAGGACAGGGTCTTATGAATGTACACAAATAACTATATTGCCAAGAAAATAAGATACTGTTTCCGAATTCTGGAGGGATCTGATGGGGGGAAATTTTTTTCATCATTGTTCATAAGGGTATACTTTACCAAATTGCTCTAAGTCACACATAGTTTAAGAAAAAAGGTTACCTTAAATCTAGAGAAAACCAAAACATTAAAGAATCAATAATGTTTCAAATAAAAATTATCATCATCCTTATCAGTTCATTTGGTCCCATTTTTTGTTAGCAATTCTGTGAATCCTGTTTTACCTTAAAGTTATGTAAATTCTTACCCGGTTCAGTGGTGTGATCTGGATGTTAGCCAGAACTCTGTCTGTTAGAGTCCTTTCCAGCAGTCTCTTTGATGAAGCACTTCTGTAGAAACCCATTTATTTACAGAAGTATCAAAACAATAAATGTCTGTAAATGCCCAAAAAACTTAAAAATGCCGATGTTAAAGATCTGATGAGAGTTCATTATAATGAAACTGACAAGGAAACTTGGTTATTCCTGTGCCATAAACCATTTTAAGATAACTAGAATCACAAGTGATAAATTTATACCAGGACATAGATTCTAGTCTTTGAGGTTTTCTACCCAGGACATAGATGTCTAGGAATTTCATATCTGGAACACATATTAATTACATATTTTATACAAATGTAATTTAAAGAAGATTTTGCATTACTTATTTGATAAATTTTCCTATGTAGTTTTACATATCAAATAAGCCTAATTAATTTAATGGCTTTATTTATAAGGAGAGAACAATCCTTTAAGATATTCCAGGGCACCTCTGGGAAATCATGGTTAGTTTGGGGTCAAAAAAGACTTTATTTAGAATCTGATTTTGGGACATTTGTCAAAAATATCAAATGATTTTAAAACATTTGATTAAATGAGATCATAGGTTACTGTGAAATGATACTTATCCATGAGACCAAACTGACACTTTGCAGTCAAATACTGAAAATTACAGTTGTAAAAAAGAAAAATACTAGCTCTTTTAATAGATTCAGTTTTCTTAAGTAATCAAAGATTTGGTAAAGTCAGCATGAAGCACATTAAATTATTTTGATAAAACATTTTGTTTCCTATGTAGATTACTTAAAAGGTAAAGGAAAAACCTTTCACAGACTTATCCAGAGTAGACCAGTAGTCCAAGAAAACTGTCCTTTTAGCATATGAAAGAAAATTAAGTTTAATTTTATACAAGTATACTATTTATTAAAGCTTCTTAAAAAATCCTTATAAATTTACTTTTTTAGCCAGCTTGACTACACAAGATAAAATTTTCATCCTCTCTCTTTCTCTTTCCCCAACTTTTAGTATCTATTTAGTTTTTCTACTTTAGGACAATATAACTTTCGTTTCCCTTAACAAAAATGCATCTCCATACCTCATACTTTTTCTTATCTAAAATATATCATACCTTCCTTGCATAAAGGTATGTTCCTTATTATTTCTAGTAGTTTTAATTGTATTTGTTAATTAGAATTCTTAACTTTGAAACCTTAATTTCTAGTGAAAATGAGGAAGTAAGCAATTGCAAACTGTCTGTTATACCAGCATCTGTAGATTGGCAAATTTATGAATATATTTCATAATTTCTAGAAGCATATGCCTCTTTTTTTATAGTACAGATTTTCAGTGTAGCACAGGAGATTATTTCCTATCAGATCTAAATATCTTTAGTTCCTCTGTAATAAGAAACCAAAAGTAGATAAACCTATTTTCTATAATTAATGTTTTAGTATTTTATATTATTTAACAGTGATTTATATATTCAATCAATTTATATCATTTAACTTAGCAAAACTCTAAGATTTCAAGTTACCAAAAAGATTTGGGTAACTAATTTTTAAGCAGACATACCATAAAACATAATATTGTTGAAAAGTGGGTGCCTTGGCAATCAAAGCTTAAGCCAGGCACTTGCATGACAAAAGGACAAAGCCAAGCGTCAGGGACAACACAAAGTAGATGACTTGTCTGTAGGCTGATCATAGCTCCAACCCTCTGCTGTGGAAAAAAAGTGTTTTTCCCTAACCCAATTGATTCTTCTTGATTTTTACATTTTATTTACTAATGTTGCGACCTCACTCATGGCTACTGTCGGGTATTTAAGCATAATCTGTGGACTAATGGGCTTATGTATTTACTCTTTACTATTCTTTTTATTTTTGTGGTTCAAACCTGGAATAGCTAATATTTCTTACAATGAGGACCTCTCTGTCCTAATATCTTTGCTTGGGTTATTAAATCCATTCTTTAAACTTGCTGAAAAATGGAAGTCTTTGGTTATATTTATTAATTCAGTGTAAAATTATTGAAATGAGAAGAATTGTTTCCTAAATCCGAGTAGGTGGATCTTATCTATTATGATAGTGTCTCTGTGTGTAGTGCATTACTCATCTTAGAAGCTCAAATACTAATTAAATGAAAATGGTTGTAACACTGTATTTGCATACCACTTGAAACTTCTTTATGTTGTCCCTGGTACCTAGCACAGTTTGTGGCAGTGTTTGGAATGTTTTCATTTAATCTTCATATCCAAAAAGGAAGGCATTTTGGTGCATTAGTTAAGAATATGGAGTAAGAGCATCTTGTCAGGGATCCATTCTGAGTCTGCTACTCACTGCACAGCCTTGGGAGGGACACAGTGATACCTGCCTGGTAGGGGTGTTGCATGGATAGATATAAAGTACTTAGAATGGCATCTAATACATGACTAATTTTGTTAATATCATCCTATTTCATAGTTTAGGGAGGAAAAAGTTGTCCCAAGGACTTTAAATGAAAAACTTGTTCCAGGTTAGGTATATAATGCGTGCCATTTATTGAATGCCTACTGTGTAGCAGCTACTATACTGAGGCTTCTTCCTGGGATGGTTGTAAATAGTTCCAGGCATTATTCAGGGAGTGTGATTAGTAATTTGGTAATTTGTTATTGCTCGATGGTACATTTCAGCATTTGGTTATACTACTCCTGACTATGGCCACTGACTAATGCTTTTGCATTGGGTGTGACTACGGGCTTGCGATAGCATCATCTCGATGGTACATTTCAGCATTTGGTTATACTACTGACTATGGCCAGTAATGCTTTTGCATTGGGTGTGACTATGGGCTTGCGATAGCATCTTGATGTGGTGTTTGCTTTAAGTTGGCACTTTTGGTGTTAATGCATGCAAAATGGGCAAAATGACCCTCCCAAACAGCAAAACATATGATTCTAATGGCATAGTGCAGGGCAGGAAGCATTGTTTACATTGAGTTGAGGATAGGTTAGTATGCATATATAGTGTTCATTATAAATACTTAAAAAATTAAAATTATCCAAGCAAGGACAATTCAGGGTTGAAAGAGAAAACCCACTGTCTTCAGCAAAAATTTGAATATAAAAAACATAGACCAAGGAAACAGTTTATGGCCTAATGCGTTAATTCTATGAAAGTACATATATGTTGTATATTGTCATCAGGTGAAACTTTATCACCTTTTCACAATTTAGAGAGGAAAGGCAGCTTTTACTATAGTTAAGCCATGTGTCATCAGTACCATGAAGTTAGCCTGTCCCTCGTAATAGGTTCTATAAAATATCACAGCGAGATTGCAATAAGCCTAAAAAATGGGCTGCCTTAATATTTGGGCCTCTGCTAGTCTGTGAGCTCTTTGAAAACAGTGATTGTAGTATTAAAAACAATTTGTTTATACAATGCCTGTCGTTTATTGAGAGCTTACTTTGTACGAACTACGGTGCTTAGTCCTTTACAAACATTTTATTTTAGTTTTAGAAGAGCCGAATGAATCAGATAACCCACTTTACACTAATTAGCCCTTGGTCACACAGCTTGTAAATGATGGAATCAGGATGTGAGATCCATCTGACTCAAAATTTTCTGTATTATATTGCCTGTACTAGTGCAACAACTGATAACATGAAAGATATTAAATAAATGTTTATCAAATAAGAGAATAAATGGGGATAGACTTAAATAAGACATGATCCCTGGCCTCAGGGAACTTAGAAATGAGACAGAAGAGTCAAGCAATAATTAGGGCACAGGATTAAAAAAGTTATGGTCCAGATGTGGGCCTGATGCCAGGGGAGTCCACAGGAGAGGTACCTACATCAAACCAATGGGAAGAGCAGGAGGTATCCATCTGTGTAAGTGGAGTTTGAGCCAAAAGCCGAAGGGTAAATTGGAATTGGCCAAAGGAGGATGTGGAATGCGTTCCAGATAGAAGAAAGAGAAAAAGTAGTAGATATATTTAGATAGAAGGTGTGAGAATGATAAGGGGTGAAGTGTCAGAGTTAGGATCCAAATAATTTGGGTATAAAACTGAGCAATTTGAACGTTATCCTGAAAGCTCTTGGCAAGGGGAGGTCTTCGCGAGTTTAGCTTCATGATTAGTTTTGTATTTCAGATGGTTACTTGGGCAAGCAGTGTGGGGAATAGCGTACAGGGAGGCAGATGGGAGACCCTGAAACCATTAGGCTATTCTATAATTGAGGAGGGCCTAGATGAAGTCAGTGGGGTTGAAAAGGACTTTCTAGATATTAAGGAGGCCTTGGTGACTGAAGATGAATGGCAAGTTTGGTGAAAGGGTGACTCTAAGTTTATGGTTTAGATGGATCGTTGTTCCTTACTAAGAGAACAAATGCAGGAGAAGGAACAGATTTAGGAAAAAGTGTTATGTTTGGTTGGGGATGTGTCGAGCTTGAGGTGCTAGGGAATAGCTCCATGAGTCCGAGGCCCAGTGGCAAAGGCTAGGGAGGTTCTGGGTGAGAGGGAGATAGATATGGGCATAACCAGAATGTCAGAGGTAGCATATCTGAGAGTATGAAATAGAACATTGAACCCTATAAAAGTCAAGTATCTCGCCCTTGTCATATACCTGGCAAGGTGCCAGTGGCTTGAACTTAGGGCCTGTCTGGCTTTTAAGCCTAGCGATATGCCAGTTTCATGATAAAACTTATCTCCTTTCTCCCCTTTGTTTATATTGCTCCCCAAAGGATATGTTGTTGCTCAATTACTGGTTTTGCGATTTCTTTGTTCAAACTGTCATCAGCCATGTTTTAGGTATATCAGGTGTTGATCCTTGTACCTTCCACCTCTTTCTTTCTATGCATTCTGATGCCGGTTTTGTATGAAGTTTCCTTAGTACAGCTTGGCCTCGTGATCATTATGTGTCATTCTTAATAGTAACAGATAGCACTTATAAATCTCAAATAAGGAAGAGGAGAGTAGTGGTTCCTTTCAGCATTGTTGCATGTAATAAATATTTTCCTACAAGATATTGAGGGGAAAATTACCTGAGATTCATCCTTCCCATCTTGGCCCCCCAGATAGTGTAGTTGACAAGTGGTCTTAAGACAGAGAACTAGTTTCATTTCTTCTATTAAACACTCTCTGAGTCAAGGTCCTTAGGATAAATTTGTAATCATGAGATTCATCAATACTTATCAAGCTTACTTCCCAGCCAGCCCTCATCTCAGTAGAAGAGAAACTTGTTTGTGGCTTGGAATCTGTATTTTAGCTATTGGGCAAACAATATCCCTGTTTGCCCAATGATGGGCAAAACAGATGTAGGCAAACAAATAACCTGAGATATGACTTTCCATAGCTCAACTTTGCCTAAGAGCTGGCTAAATATGGTTGTGCTAGGGGGAGTGCATAAAGCACCAAGAAAAAGTATTCATGATTGGTTTTGTTTTATTTATACTTTTGAACACTTTTTTTTAGGCAACCTCCCGACTTCTAGTGAATTACCCAGAGCCCTATCGTTCTCAAATATTGGATTATCTCTTTAAGGTAATGGAAAAATAATTATTTAATGGTACCTGTGATATTTTAGAAAGTATGGTGAATATCACCTATAGAATTTGTCACCTTCAAAATTCGTTTTTTTTTTTTTTTTTTAAATGACAAGTTACTTTGGGGATAAGTTGCTATTTATTTCAAGTTTTGTTTTGGTTTTCTCATCTGTAAGATCAAAAGCAGCAATTAATAATTGTCTTGAAGAGTTTTGTCCTTCATACAGTGACTTGGTGTTAATACTGTTACTTCTTTCTCCAGCCAAACTTTGGTGCCTCTTTGCATATTCTAAAAGTCGAAATAGGTGGCGATGGGCAGACAACAGGTAAGAGTATTTGGGAAATGGGTTCCCCCACAACATTTGAAACTATACCTAAACTTATGGACTATGACTTTGGAATATAAATGATACCAACATTTTTGATATTGATTATTGCTTAGTAGATTGTTCCTTATTCCTTTTTTTTTAAATAATTTTAAAAATTATATCAAATATGCATTTTTCCCATCAAAAACAGTATTTGGACTTTATAGTGTATATTTAGTTGAAGTAATCAGTAGTAAATAAATCCATAGTTTTCTAAAAACCATATTCACTAGACAGAGCACAGGAACAGTTTGAAATGCATTGAAAAGTTAGAAAAAGAAAGCTTTTAATAGTATATAAAACAAGTAAGGTGTTATTGGTTTGAAATAAAATAGGTGGTAAAAATATAAGCAATCAGTATTTCAGATACATAGCTCTTTTTTAAAAAAATTATTTTTAACTCTAAATCTTCAATTTTCATTGTCGCCATTTTGATTGGCTTTGTGTAGTACATGTAGTTAATTAAAAGTTTATAGGCCTCTGGTTTCCAGGAAGAAGAACAAGGAATTTAATATAGCTTGTCATTTATAGGTCAGATTCCATTATAGTGAACTCTAGAGTATTGTCTGCATATTCGTGTTCCTGTTAGTGATTTGGGAATAATTTTTGTTAAACAGATATATGGAGTGCTATTAGTGTTTAGCTTATGTTGAAAGAGAAACGCAAAATTAAAACAAAAGAAAACCCTTCATAAGAGGACCTGTATTTTATTGTCAGATCCTTTTATACAGAATTAATAATTCAACATTTGCCGTAGCTAAATTAGAGGTAGAAATACAGAAGCAGGTAGTTCTTGAGAATTCTGATGTTTACCTTTAAGAAGGAATAGGCAAGGGCCTCTTTCCTTGTGAGACCCTTAACAAGGGCAGGTGTTTGTGAGACATGGTTACACCTGGAGATTTATGTCATTACCTACCTTGACACGCCATAGAGGTTAGTATAGAAATTTTTTATAATGGAGATGTGTACTTATTCCTTTTTTCTCTCAAAACTCTGTTGTCTTGGTACAAGGCCTGGTATAGGTTGAAGGAATGCAGTATGAGAATTGGGGCTTAGGTGCCCAGGATTCACATCCGGGTTTGCAAAGCTGCAAGTGGAGGTGACATGAACTTAAAGTTGACATGGGAATTTAAAAAGTGCAGAGAGACCAAATAGCAGAATGTAGCCCTAGGAATTTTCAGTTATTTGAGGTGAAAACACTTCTCTTATCACTGCTTATAATATGAAGTTGTGGTTTTATTATTGAAGCTATTTACAGTGCTTAGGATAATGGAATAAGATGAAATAATATGCTTTGATCTTCCATCTTCAAGTTATATAAGATTATTCTTATTTGCCCCGTTTCAGGATTGGAACCGGCATGCTACTTTTGTGGAATTTGTGTATGTGCGTCAGTCAGGGAGAGTGGCCCTGTCAAGCGCCATTAATGGATAGTTTCCTTTCTCTTTTGCTCTCTCCCATTCAGATGGCACTGAGCCCTCCCACATGCACTATGCATTAGATGAGAATTATTTTCGAGGATATGAGTGGTGGTTAATGAAGGAAGCTAAGAAGCGGAACCCTAATATTACACTCATGGGTAAGATGTGAAGTTTGCCATGCCTTTGGCAATCTGTTTTAACTTTAAAATTCTGAATCATGTATGTGGAGTCTTTATGAACATTGAAGTACTAATAGTGTTGTTAATACTACCATATGCTACCAGCAGCAAGACATGTGCCAGACACAATTCTTTCTTTATCCTTATACCCTATGTCTGATCTTTATAATACCTCTGGAGGAAGGCATTACTCTTCGCATTTTACAGAAGGAACAGTAGAAGCTTAGAGAGGTTATGCCACTGACTGAAGGTCAGTTAATTAGTAAATGGCAAAATCAGATTTAGAAGCTATTCCATTCTAGTAGGTTTTTTTTTTTTGGATGCTAAACTTCTTAAAATTTCTCATCAAAATTTGTCAGAGGGCAATGCTGTTTATAAAGTTGTACATCACACCCAGAACTATATTCCAACTATTTGCAAAATGGTGTATCATATGTAGTAGTAGGCCCCATTTCTAGAAGCGGTACATACAAAAGTTTCTTTATTTGTTTTGAACCTCAGGGATGTGGCAGTCCCTGTTCTAGGCACTGGGGAGACCGAACTATCCAGCCCCCCATTCCTGCCCTTGTGAAGCTTAGATTCTAGATAATTAGATGATTTCTCAGATGGAACTATATTTATTTCAGAGTTCCTCTGTAGCATTGTACACAAACTGTAAAATATTTCAAACATGTACAGTGATGGCATATTTCATCATTTGAAATGAAATTGATGTTTTGAAACTGGCTTGCACATTCAGACTAAGTTCAGTGAGATTAATGAGATCTATTTTATAGACTCGATTTCAAGTGACTGTAAAAGTCATTTTCAACAATCCAGGGACGAGCATATAATTTTCTAAATTAAAAAAATAAGGAATCAGTGTGTTCTTAGTGAATGGGCTTTTATCAGAGATTCCAGAAATGTTTTGAGCAGTAAAAAGCATTATTGACTTCACATACTGGCCCATTGGGCTGCTTTCAAGGTCAGTTCTCATTTAAATGTAGACAGTCTGGCACGCTGAACCGTATCCTAACAAAGATCTACACATGGTTGGCTTTCAGAATGTATTTGCTATTTCATTGTTTTAAAATGCTCCATTATTTTAATGTTATATTTCTTAGACATTCCTCTTGATTTTAGAAAAATAAGCATTTTGTCATTTTGATTTTGATTTTTTTCAGTGGTGAACTAGACTGGTAATATATGAACAGTTAAGGAGCTTAACCATTGAGCTTATTTTAATAGATTAGTAACAGAATTAGGATTTATAATTGTAATTCATGCTTCTCTACTCCTTATTTTTTTTACTTAAAAATAATAATTAGGATATTAGAAGAATGTGGATTATTTAATCCATATCATTTAACAAAGGTATCTTTCCCTGTTGAGTCATTGGTATTTGTGTTGATATAAGGAGAAACTAGTTTTGCTAAATTTGATTGCCTAATTTATATTTTAAGTAGCCTTAGTAATGAATGAGGAATTCGTATTATACTTACCTCAGAGAGTAGTTAAGCATAAGCCTTTCAGAACTTTTCGATTTGACCTCAGAGAACAGAAATTGGACATTGAAATATCTCCTATAGCAAGTGTTGGAGATGTTAAGTTAAATTGTATATTTCTTTGAGAGAGGTGTTTGCTATTTGTTTTTATTTCTTTTTCTTGAATGTGCATTTGGAATTGTTGAATCTGACTCTGAGGATCAATAAGGAATTATAGTGTCATAGACTAGAAGAGATTTTGAAAACGTGTGCATGGTATATAATCTTTCCTTTAGTCCGATCTGTATTGGCTTTTTGCTTTGCCTGTGTTCTTTTTGGTATCTTTTGCTTCGTTTTTAGTAGTGCCAGCACCGTTATACCCACTCTACCTTTGCCTCTTCCTTTCTCTCTGCAGGGTTGCCATGGTCATTCCCTGGATGGCTGGGGAAAGGTTTCAACTGGCCTTATGTAAATCTTCAGCTGACTGCCTACTATGTTGTGACCTGGATTGCGGGTGCCAAGTATTATCATGATTTGGACATTGATTACATTGGGGTTAGTAATATATTTAAAACATGCTTAACTTTTGGACGTTTATTTGTAATTTTTTAAAGTAATTTGATTCTGAGGCACTTTGTTGACTAACCATTTTGTGTCGTGAGACTAATTTGTTCTCTTGGTGTGTGATAATAACATAAATTAACTACATATAGCCTTTTATTCTTGCTCTTTGCCCATCCAAATTCTTCCCACTTTTGAAAATCGTACTGTTTACCTTCTTCAAATCTTTTTTATAATGTCTGTTTTTGGTACCACCCCAGCTCAAATCTTCTTTGAAGCTTACCCTAGTTTTTCTAGTTCTTCCAATAATACTATGTTTACTATTACAGTTTAAAGATTAATCTTATTTTGCTCTATGAGTCTTCCATTGCTCTAAACCAGGGGTGGCAGACTTTTCCTTAAAGGACCAGAGAGGAAATATTTTAGGTTTTGTGGTTCAAGAGGTGTTCTTAAGGATATTATGTAGCTAATTATATAACCATTTGAACTGTAACCATTTAAAACTATAAAACCATTCTTAGCTCTCAGGCAATAAAAATAGGAATGGCATGCCAGATTTGGCAGGCTGGTGGAAATCTGCGTACCCTTATCTTAAACTGTTATTTAATGATTTAAAAAATGTCAAACATGATATTTTGTCTTTTTAGCTGGTAGCTGGTCTGTTGGCAGGCCGGAGGCATGCCTCAGATTTCATTGTACCCTACAGAGCCCTAAGCACACATATAGTGGTTCTTCATACACTTTTGTTTATTAATATGCCATCTGTCAAAACTGATTTGTAAAGTTTTCATGCAGTTGGCAAGCAATTATTGAGCTCCTGCTGTGCTGCAGGTACAGTGACTGTTATGTTCTAGGGATACCAGGATTAATAAGCTCTTGAGGAGTTCAGTGAAAGAAGCAGACACTGGAACAGATAAACCGTGGTGCCATGGATGATATAGGACATGAGGATGAGCCATGGGCTGCAACCCAGAAGCAAGAGTACACTTGGTGTTATTATTCCTCTCCAAATTATAACTGCAAATTAGTTTGTATTTGAGAAATTTCTTAGATGTTAGGATATTTTAACCCATAGTGAGACTAACTGTAGGTTTGGGTCTAATAGCATTCTATGATGGTAAAGTCACGCTTAGAAACTGTTTCTTGTAAATAATGGGTGAGTCACATCTTTTTTAGACTCTCAATAACTTGGTAATAACATGCTGCGGCGAGGAGCTTCTTTGATAAGAGCCCTTTTCTGTATCCCTGAGGTAAAAATAGTTCCAGTGCCGGGACTCTGGGCTCATCTCTGTTGTTAACAGTTTTCTCAGCTGCAAAATGAACATCGCGGAAATTCTCTGTCAACTGTAAATCCCCACGCTTCATGATTCTGAACCTAAGAGATCTGCATATGTTCCTTTTGTGACATAGCATGCTATGGTGATTTTCTTTGTGTTCTAAAAAAGTCACTCCTACACGGTGTATGTGTGTGTACTTGCTTTCAGGTGTGCTTGAAGTATTACAGCCATGTCTGTATTACCCCGTGTCTGTCTGGTCTCTAGTGCCTCGTGCATTTTCCGGCACACGGTACGTTGTTGGTATTTGTCGAATGAATGAGTATTCCATTTTTAGCCTCTCTGAAATAAATGATTTTAAAATAATACCCATCCAATATTTTAAGTTTTAAAAATAGTATTTTTAATTTTAAAAAGTTAATTTTAAAATAAAGATATTTATTGCTTTATAAATATCTTTAAATTCTATAACCAGGACATTCCATGAAGTAAGAAAAATAGCTTTCCAGGTGATAGGAAAGACGAAAGGAGTGGCATCTTAATGATAATGTTGACTTTATGACACTTAAAAATTTTTAATTCAGACTTTTTGACTTTTTGTTTTGCAGATTTGGAATGAGAGGTCATTTGACATCAATTATATCAAGGTCTGTACAACTTTAAAATGTTTTAATCTTTAAGTTACTAGTGAATAATTCTTTTATGTTTCCATGGAAATTAGTACTAGGACTGTATTTTTTACAGCACAGTTACTTGTTTTGTGAGTTGTGACATAAAATTCAAGCAAAATCTTAATGTTAACATTCCTGATAAAGCATTCGTAATTCCCTTCAAGCCCCAAATTACTTTCGTCTGAAGAGTTGTTAAATTCTCCTATTTTAAGATTCATTATTTGTGGAATTATAATAATCACTATAAAAACAGTTGTGTCATTTTAGACTTTAGTCCTTAAAGAAATGTAGTTTTTTTCTTGTCTTGTATCAAACTTTCTAGTACATGGGCTCCTTGTTTTCTTTGGAATGCCTATTATATTGGAGTGTATTATATTTTTCTATTTGGAATTAGCAAATAGGTAGCAACTAACGTTTGCAAAGTGTGTGATTTTTGAGCCAGTTTTCTAAATATTTATCTTCATTTAATTCTTACTACTTCCCTTATGAGATAAATGCTATTATTGCTATTTTTAAGGAAGGAGAAGCTGAGAATAACCCCTTCTGTCCTTGGAAAACAAAAGCAGTTTAACTTCTAGGTGGAGATATTCTCTAGTTTACCTTTCAGTTCCATTTGTTTTATTTTATGTGTCTTTTCTCTAAAAAATATAATTTTGTGGTTATATTTTGTTTCAGTTTTTAAAACATTTTCTTCCAACTGAGTGACTTATGTTTTAAGCACTAAATTTCTTTTGTTTACTCGTTTAGTTGAGATCAGCACGCATTTACTCAACACCTAGTTTGTCAGGCATTGTGCACATGCTTGGAATACAAGGATAACAATGACTGTTTCTCCCCGAAGGAGTTCATGTTTGGGTGATCTGGGTTCCATATGGACAATTAAAATACCAGTCATAATTTCTCTACACATTCAGAATAATGTGTATACAGGGCTCTGGGAAGATACAGAGAGGAGATGACACTTCTGCCCGGGTGGACTAGGGAGGTCTATTAGAGGAGGTGACAGGCACTTGCAGTCTTCAAGATGGGATACGTAGGAGCTCCCCAAGTGGCTACGGCAGGGGCATGACACTGCAAATAAACTCTGTTCTAAGAATGCTGCTATTTATACTGGTTTTGAGATGGAAATTTATTTAAAAGTACAGCTTATAGGCTTGTATATTTTGGAGTGTTATTTGAATATACTGTATAACATGTAAGCAACCTTAGAAGTGATGGTCTAGGAATAGCACTAGACAAACTAGATAGATTCGTAGTGAAAAAATGCAAGTTTGAGTCAGTTGCTCTCCCTTTTCTCTGTAAGAATAAGAAAGAATTTCACAGTGATGAAGCTCAAGATTGGTCTCCCAATAGAGGGATAGGGATTCTCAATTCTGAATCTTGAGAGATGGTTTCCATTTACTATTAAGGATCTGTTCACATTGCTTCCGGAGTGCCCTAGAAACCTCATGTGAAAGATGAACTTGGATTGCTAATCTAATTCAAACCTTGTTTTTTAAAATACTATAATACATCAGTTTTGAGAAATCATCCATTTAAAGTACAACGTGGAATCGACTAGAGCTTTCGTTATTTGCCTCCTAAAAGAGCACATTAATTGGAAAATTCCCTGACGTAGAAAAGTTAGAATGTGGAAAGAGAGTTTGTGAAAATCTTTGTTCTTTCTTATCTTAATTAATTAGATCAATATTTATTGAGCACATACTACCATGAGCTGGACTGTTCCAAGTGGTTGATATTACAGCCGTGGGCTTATTCATATTTATTCATCAAGAACTATTTCTGTTTTGAAATCTAATTCTTCTACTCCCGGGTTAAATGATGTCTCTTCTTCTCTGCTCTTTAGCAAGTTGGCAATCCATACATTTTGGTATGTATGTCTTCGCTGATTTTCTAGTACACCTGTTAGTTTTAGTGTCCTGGTGAGTGTGTTTGTTGCCTAAGGACGAGGATCCCATCTTGTGTTTCTTTTAGAGTCCTCATGGGGCCCAAGTATAGTACTAAATCCTGGAGGAGGCACTCTGTGCTTTGTCAATTTATTTCCTATGAGAATTTAGCTTGTTACTTTCAATTTTCAAGGGTGGATTGTCCTGAGGGTAAATTTTATTGCCTATCCTGTCTAAGCCTGTGAAAGACTTAAGGGGAACATTGGAATGTTTCTTATTTCTATTTCTACTATAGTACAAAATATTAAGAACTGTAATATTTTTGGTAATGGCAGAATATTTGAAGACATTGGAAAAACAAAAAAATTATAGATTAAAGCATTTCATCAAATGGTATGTTTAGTATGATCTCAATTTTATTATTGCATCTTCATAAGAAAGTTACTGAAAGAATGTATAGCAAAATAATAATGGTTATTTCTGGGTAGTAGTATTATGAGTTGTTTTTTTTTTAATTAACTTTCTACCCTCCCACCCAAATTTTCTATGGTTAAACATTTTCAAGTCAGAGGGAAAATCCCTCTAAAACATTTTTACCTCTTGGGTTTGTTTGCTTTCTCTTTACTTTCCCATGAAGTAGGTTATCTTAATGATAATGCCTTTATTTTATATAGGAAGCATGTTTCTACGGGCAAATAATATTGGCACTATCATCCAGAATGCTGAGTTTTGAAGATACTTTAGCTATCCTGGTTGTAATTCAACAGGCGAGAGCTCATTTGTAACCTATCCTATATTCTGTTTATCTCTCTGAAAGGTTTTAAGAAGAATGCTGAACTATCAAGGTCTCCAGCATGTGAAAATCATAGCGAGTGATAATCTCTGGGAGCCCATTTCTGCTTCTATGCTGCTTGACTCCGAGCTCATGAAAGTGATTGATGTTATAGGGTAAGGAGTGTTTTACTTTGAAATGTGAATTTCTCGTTGACCGTGCCTTTGTCGTTGCCCTTTCCTCAAATGTCATTGCCCTTTGATTACATGTTCAGAAAGTAGCTCTCTTGTATTTATTTAACCAGAGCCTGTACAACTGATATTTCATTTCTTTGTCTTTGAAACATATGTATTTTGGGGTTTTTCTATGACAATGAAATGTATTGGTAACTTTTAAAAATTGTGTTAACATTTTCGGTAATAAAACATGGCTTTGTTTAGATTAAGGGGCAGTGAAGTATTTAAATTTTAGAAGTTATAAGAGACAATGTCATGAAATCAGTTCCTAACCCTCAGACTTCTTGTGGTTGGGAATTCTCTCATGAATGCCTATGGGCCTGGTGTGGTACACTGATTATGACTTTTGTTATGTCTCCTTAGCGGTATGACTTTGACCCTGCTCCCGTAGACCAATCTGCCTTTCAGTCCTCTGCATCTTGACCTTACGGGGTTCCAGCAATATTTTTTATTCTGTGTCTTATTTATCCATCCATCCATCCATCCATCCGTCTACTATCTACTTTCAGTTTTATTGAGAAATAATTGCTATACATCACTGTACAGGTTTAAGGTATACAGCATGATGGTTCAATTTACATATATTGTGAGATAATTACCACAATAGGTTCAGTTAACATCTATGACCTCATATAGATACAATAAAAAGAAAAAAATTCTTCTCGTGATGAGAGTTCTTAGGATCTACTCTCTAGCAGCCTGTCTGTACACCATACAGCAATGTTTACTGCAGCCATCACATGCTCATTTCAGCCCCGGTGTTTATTTATCTTACACCTGGAATATTGTAGCATTCGACCACCTTCTTCCAATTCCCCTTCTCTTACGCTCTGTCCAGCAGTACTTTTTTGAAGTGAATTTTAATGTATCTGTTATAACAATGTATATAAACATTTGAAAAATAGAATACGTGTATATGTGGAATTTGTTCTTTATTCAGTGCGAAGACTCTTCTTGATCTAATGTCCTTTTTTATGAAGAATTTTGAACATGCACAAAAGTTGGCAGAATAACATAATAAATATCCATGTTCCCATCACTCAGTCTCCATAAGTATGAGCTCATGGCCATACATACTGTGAAATGATGAAGATGTTTTACCTAATTATATACATTTAAAAATTATATTCTTAAAGTTTACATTTTGTTGAAGTAGCAATGGATGTTGGGAGAGACCCAGATTTTGGTATTAGTTCTATCCTTCTTTGTTGAGATCATTTAATAAATTATTCAGGTTTTAAACATAATATAACAGTTCCATTGTTTTCTGAATGAGAGATGTAACATCTATTTCTATAATTTTAAGGAGTTTATCTTAGATTTTAAAAATAATGCATGCTCATTATAGAAAATGTGGAAATTGTAGAAAACTATAGAGTTAGAATTTAGTCATAATCCTAACATCTTGAAATCATTGGTAACATACTAGCATATTACTTTCCAGGCCTTATTTTTTTATATGAGTATATTTTAATGAGAGATACATTAAACATGCATTTGGCTGAGTGACAACTAGGTGAATCTGAAAACTATTTGGCCGAAGCATCGAAGATGAATATCATGATGTTAGAATGAAGTTCTGTGATATAAGAATAATTCTAAAATGTAAGAAATTATTAAAATTATGTTTACAAAGATTACTAGTAATATTTTCCAAATTGGGCATTACGGTGCCAGAACAATAATTTCTTAACCCTGTTAGGAGCAACCTTGATCTTTTGGTCTCTGTAGTATAGAGTTACAATACTGAATAGATGCCTGTTTTCAGCTGAGTTCAATGACTCAACAGAATCTTGATGGAACCTCATTTTTATCAAATACTTCTCTTTATATATTTTATTACTTTTTATATATTCTTTTCTTCCTCATGAAATCCTGAAATGCTAAATTGATGTGGTACCCTAATTGATCTTTACTAGGTATACTGAATTCCCAGAAAGGACATTCTCATAGAAGATGCATGAACTAAATGGAATTAACTAACTAAAAACTAAAACAGATCTTCAAAATCATTCTTTTAATGTTATGAGCCCTACTACACCAAACTACTAAGATTAGAATTATGATATAATCTAATCTCTATTGTCTGCTTATATTATTAATAAATTTTTTGGAAATAATTGTTGGCCTAAAAAGTTTATACTCATGTTCCTAAAGTTATTTTGCTAACATGCTCTCTTATGACTATATGAACTGTCAGTCTGTTTTCTATCGTACATTTGAAATTTCTTAATTGTTTTTATTCAGTAATGAATAGTTATGGCAATGTTCAACTTTTGGAAGAATAAATATACATTTATACTTCACCTGACTGACTTCTCTCAAATGTTAGAATAAGGGAGGGATTTATCACTTTGGGGCAGGGTTTCTCAACCTCTGCACTTTTGATATTTTCACTGGACAATTCTTCGTTGTGGGGATCTGTTCTGTGCATTTTAGGATGTTTAACAGCATTTCTGGCCTTTACTCGATGTCAGTAGCAAATCCTGCCTTGCCTTCTCCAGGCAGAATCACCCAGAGCAGCCACCACTGCTCTGGGATGATAACTGGAAGTTTTCCAAAAGTAGTTTATTCTTTTTATTCAAGAAGGAACTCTGTGTGAGTTTTTATTGTTTTTGTCTGGGAATAAATGCCAAGCTGCCTTTCTCTCTGTCTGCTAGGGTTAAGACAGGGGAGGAGGTACTATATACGATAGATTCGTTAGTCTTATTTTTAGCTTCCTTCTTACTCCTTCATTCCTAGTGTCCCAAATTCTGTACTTTCCCTGGGAAGTCTGAATCCTATCTCCACCTCATTCGTCTCTTGGAGTGTTTAAGTCTGTGGCTTCCTCTGCTACCTCCGTCTATCAACATCTTTTCATACATTTTATGGTTTCTAGAAACAGGTAGACATTTTCCATCCATCGATGGTCTTTCATCCCATTTTGTGTGTCATTATAAGTTTACCCCATTTTAATGATGTCCTGAGACACAAGGATGGGAAGCAGATGCTTACAGTCAATCTGACATCTACCTAGAAGCTATCCATTGTTCTCAAATAAAATATTGGAAAAGACGTGTATTTTTCTTCACTCAGCAAATAGATATAAGTGTCACATTTTGACCTCTTCCCATTCCCTTTCACCCTTTCTTTTCTAGAGCTCATTATCCTGGAACCCATACAGTAAAGGATGCAAGGTTGACTAAGAAGAAGCTTTGGTCTTCAGAAGATTTTAGCACTTTAAATAATGATGTGGGTGCAGGCTGCTGGGGTCGCATATTGAATCAGAATTATATCAATGGCTACATGACTTCGTAAGTTATTAAAAACTTTTGAAGATTTTTAATTTGAAAAATTTCAGAAACAAGTAGAAAAAACTACAATAGACTTTCATATTCTCACAACCTAGGTTCAATGATTGTAAACATTTTACCTTAGCTTCATCTATATTTATATCTATAGCTAAGCTGTATCTATTTTTCTATATTTGAATATAGTCTGTATTGAATAAAGTCAAGCCTATTGAGATATAATTTATTTACAGTAAAATTTGTACACTTCTATGATTTTTAACAAGCTATATACACGCATGTATATAAATTATGAAATAAATGACATTTTACTCCTAAATATTTTAGTATGTGGCACCAAATATTAAGGCTGTTCTCCTACATGATCACAATATCACTTTGATACATAAGAGCATAAGAGCATTTTTAAAAGTATTTCTAAATGCCCAGTCTATATTCAAATTTTCCTAATTGTGTCCAAAAATGTCATTATAGCTTCTTTTTAAAAAGCTAGGAGCCAGGTACCATGCATTGCATTTTGACATCATGACCCTAAAATCTCTTGATTTAGAGTAGTTTCCTTCCTTCCTCTTTTTTTTTATGTGAACTTTTGAAAAGACTAGGCAAGTTGTCTTGTGGACTAGCCCCTTCCCAATCTGACATATAACATACTTAATTTGTGTAACTATTTCCAGAAACAGAGAGAGAACACAACTCTTAATTTCTCAGGGAAGTATCTCTTAAATGCTTTGAGAAACTGTAATTGAAATTAGATCCAAAGGAGCTTTCTAAAACAGTAATAAACATAACAAAAGCAAGTCAATACATACTTTTGTGCTAATGTAAGCAGATATATTATTCTGACAGCCTTTGTTCTTTTTCTTCTCTTTTTGAAAGGAAAGATGCTTATCATGGAGAGTGGTTCTAATAACTTAATTTGACATTAAGAGTAATGCATGCTCGTGGCAGAGAATTTAGTAACTGCATAAGTGCAAAGAAGGAAACAAAATCATTCATATTTTTGCCATCCAGAAGTAACTATTAAAAATTTTGGTGTATGTCCTCCCATTTATGTTACATATATAAAAGTTTAATATAAAATTGAGACCAAACTATATAATGTTTACTAAAGAAGTTTCTTTTCACTTAACAAGGCATTATGAACTTTTTCTTATATTCGAGTATACTTATACTTCATCATTTTCAATATTTACATACGTTCTGTTACATAAAGCAGAATTTCCCAAACTTGCCTTGTCTCAAGTAGCACCTGAAACACTTGTTTATATGGATTCATTGGCACCTGCCCAAACCACTGAACCCCAATCTCCAGGGAAGATGCCTGGGATTCGGTTGGGCTGATGAGTGCCCCAGGTGATTCTGATGCCATACAAGTTTGGGAAATGGTGATACAGAAAATATATTATACCTTGTTGATTATTCTCTTCCTAGAAGTAGAAGTAGTTTCTATTTCAGTTAACAGCTTTGTACACACTGAAATGTTCAATTGTACATAGTTATCTTTATAGATATCTATGATTTCCTTAGGGTGTTTCTTACAAATGGAGTCAAAATCTGGATCAGAGGTATAAAGATTTTCAAAGTTTTTGTGTAAATTACAAAATGCTCTCTAGATAGTTTGTTTTCATTTTATTTTAGTTCTATCTAGAAAAGATACCATGATCATGGGTAAAATCATAAGAGCTCTTAAAATTTTCACTGGTAGTAAAGATTTTTGAAAATCAGAACTATTATTTCTACTTTATATTGACAGAATTAGAAGGCTTTGATTTTCTAATAATGCTAGTCTCTCATTTTATTATGGCTGAGGACTTGATAAGGAAAATAAAATTCTGTGGATAAGCTCCGTGTTTTTTTTTATTTTTAAGCTGTGAGGAACCCAGCCAGTACCAGGTCCAGAGCTTCTCTTTTGCCCTTGGATTTTCCTGAGAACCAGAGTCACAGTCTTAGGGTTCAGCACCAGCTGTGGACATCTGAAAGAATGGACCAAAGTATAGACCAACAAGCTGACCCACTTAGTGCTTGTAGACGAAGGAGAATCATAGCAGTGCTATAGCTCAGACCTTGCTCTACACTCTTTACATGCATTAGTATATTTAATCCTCACAACAATCACATGAGCTAAGTACAATTATTATCCTCATTTTACAGATGAGGAAAGTGAGGTCTAGAGAGGTTAAGTGGTGGAACCATGATTTGAACCCAGGCAGTCAGACTCTAAGAGTTCTCAGTTGCAAAACTTTGCAACATCTCAGAGTCGAGTTCATAAAATTATGTCAATAAAACTGGGGCATTAAGAAGGCTTACTGTCAAAGGAAAGCAGGTATGGATAAAGCCTTTTTATGTGTTTGACTCAAATCTGTGACATGTCTGGTACTGGTAGGGCATGATCCATCTTCTGGTTACACCATTGCTCAGTAATAATTGTATATCTCATATACATTTATATATTTTTATTGTATGATTCACCATTAAAATATTTAGATACATCCAACACTGGTTATTTCAAAATGAGAATGAATGTAGGCAACTTATATTTTCTTGTTTCAGGTGGTCATTTTTTTGGTTATTTACCTATATTTATATAAACAACATTAAGGTCTTTTTACTATGTAGGCTCTAGACTGTTGCATTTTTATCACAGCTGTTTTGGTGTTTCTCTTTTATCAAACGAATCTTTTAGAACCATTGCTTGGAATTTGGTGGCTAGCTACTATGACCAGCTGCCGTATGGGCGTTCTGGGCTGATGACAGCTCAGGAACCGTGGAGTGGGCATTATGTAGTAGAGGCTCCTATTTGGATAACAGGTATGATTCAGATACCATCTCTCGCTCTCTAAATTCATTTCTAAGAGACAAAGCAGAAAACACTGAGAGAGGACTGTCAGGGAGGGGGACAATTTCTCCCTAACCCTTTTGGTGTTTTTAGCTGTCTAATAATTAAATAGACGTGAGACAGATTAACAGGACAAAAAAAAAAAAAAAGAAGAACAAATTTAATTTTGTATATATGGAGGTCTCATAGATTATTGGACCGAAGAAGTAACCAAAGCAGGTGGTTGGCATAACTTTTAGACAAAGAAACAAAACATTTGTGAAGAACTGACAAGGCACCAAAATGGGCTTGGGGTGCTAACTAGTGAAGAAACCCAGCGGTTTGCCTAGGCGGCTTCTTGGCTCTGAGTTGCCTATCTCTGGCAGTAAGGATGTTTCTCTACTTCCTGGTGCAGGGAGGATACCTTTCATGTGGGAGATTTGTTTCCTGTTTTCAGGGGGACACAGAGGAGAGTCAGAGTGTCTTTGCAGAGACTGTTTCTCAAGTAACTTTAAAAATAATATGCTACTTTGGCATACTTCCTGGTTGGTTAACTCTTTTGATATTGAAATTGATTTTTTGTCAGAGGTGGGGTCAGGGCCAGCTTTGGAGGTGCCCAATAAATATACATAGTGGAAATAAACTCATTTGAAACCATAAAACTTAAGTTTTTGAAATGCATTATTAACTTTTTTAACCTTATTTATTTATTTTTTTGTAGTTATAGTAGGATGGGTTAAATAGAGATGAACAAAGATTGGGAAAGGATAACTTTATTTTGCTCTTGGAAGAGAAGACAATATTCTTGAATTGACAGAGTGTGGTTCATTTATTTTTTCTAGTCATTCTAAGAATCTTCCCACAGTTGTACCATTTAACCGGACTAATTATTCCAGTGTTGGAACATGGAGTTGGCAAGTGTTTTCTTCCAAAATAAATAGCTTGCTGGACTTAATCAGAATCAAATCAGTAGATGGGCTTTTTTCGTTTGTTTAAAAGAAACAGTGTTATCACCATTTTTATCTTATTTAAAGTCTTTCTCTGCTTTTCTGCAGCTCACACCACTCAGTTTACTCAACCAGGTTGGTATTACCTGAAGACAGTTGGCCATTTAGAGAAGGGAGGAAGCTACGCAGCTCTGACTGACGGCTTAGGTAACCTTACCATCATCGTTGAGACTATGGTAATGCTTTTGTTGTTGTTGTTTTTTGGAATAATTCACTTTGTTGTATTGTAAAAACAGCATATAGCACACTGAACATTTTTTTTTTTAAACTAGCTTTTAAAGTATGATTGACAGACATATAATAAATAGTATTTAGGGGAGGAGGAAACTTTTTCTTCTACCCTTTCAGGTTCAGTACCTGGGGCCTCACAAATTAAACACACAGAAGACAGATAAACAGAAAAAAGGAAAACAATTTATTTGTGCGTGCAATGCACATACATGTGGGAGAAATTCAGTGATGAGTGACTCAGAGGGTGGTTACAATCTGGGTTTGTATACTTAGCTCAGTAGATAATGGGGAGGGACAGAAGGGGGCACTTATGGAAAATAAATAACTGAAAAGAAAAATGGGTTTTTGGGAAAACAAACAGGAAGTTCGTGATAGTGTTTGACTATACTGGTGTGAGTGTTTTTTTCCTCTCATTCAGGGCCATTAAACTTCCCTGGAGATTTGGGGTAGTTTTAGTCCCATTTCTTCTTTCTGGGAATTCATCCATTCTGAAGAGGAATTCATTGCAGCTTTATTTCTCAGGAGTTGCTGCTTTTAGTCAGATAAGGGAAGCTCATGGAAGACTTTTGTCCATCTGTCAAGTCTATATTTATAATAATTCCTAGAAACAGTGTTAGTGCCCTCACTTTCTTTTTCAAATTTGTTTTGACTTTCTAGGTCATTTGCATTTCTTTGTGCATTTTAGAATCAGCTTGTCAATTTCTTAAAAAAAAAAAAAAAGCCTGCTCAGATTTTAATTGAGATTACCTTGAATCTATAGATCAATTTGGGGAGAATTGGTATCTGACCAACATCAAGTCTTCCAACCCATTAACTAGGCATATCCTTGAATTTATTTAGATTTTCTTTAATTTCTCAACAATATTTTGTAGTTTTCAGAGTACAGATCCTTCACATCTTTTGTTAAAATTTTAGCTATTTCATATTTTCAGCTCTATTGTAAATAGTATTTTAAAAAAGTTTAATTCTATTAGTAGGTAGTATATAGTAATACAGGTATAATGATCTTTGTATAATGATCTTGTTTTCTACAACCTTGCTAAACTCACATATAATTCTAGTAGCTTTTTCTTGGTTGATTCCATTGAATTTTTTTGGTGGATGATCTACATATAAAAATAATTTTACATCTTCCTTTCCAAAATGGATTTCTTATTCTTGCCTGATTGGACGGGCTAGAATCTCCAACATAGTGTTGAATGAAAGTAGTAAAAACAGATATCCCTGTCTTGTCCTTGATCTTAGGAGAAAAGTATTGCGTCTTTTACCCTTAAGTATGATGTTTTCCATGTATACCCTTTATCAGGGAGAAATTACTCTCTATTCCCAGCTATTTATTAAAATAAGGAATGGATGTTGGATCGTGTCACAGTTTTTCTGTATTTATTGGAAGCATCATGTGGTTTTTTTTGTTCACTAAAATAATGATTTATATTAATTGAATTTTAAATTGAAATTTAATTCACATACTATAAAATTCACCCTTTAAAGTGTACAATTCCGTTGTTTTTAGTATATTCACAGAATTGTGCAACTATTTAATTTCAGAACATTTTCATCACCCCAAAAGGGAACTCCATACTCATTAGAGTCACTTCTCATTCCCTTCTCTGTGGATTTGCCTCTTCTTGACATTTCATATAAGTTGAATCATATACTCTGTGGCCTTTTGTGCTTGGCTTCCTTCACTTAATGTTTTTATAGTTCTTTATCTGTAGTACTTCATTATATTTATGTCTGTATAATATTTCATTGTATAGATATACCACATTATTTATTCATTATCAGTTGATGGATTTTGGGGTTGTTTCTAATTTGTGGGTATAATGAATAATGCTGAGGTTAACATTTGTGTATAAGTTTTTCTTGGATATGTGTTTTCATTTCTCTTGGGTAAATATCTAGGAGTGGAATTACTACGTCATATGATAACTCTGTATTTAACATTTTAAAGTTTATCTACTTTATTGATTTTCTCAAATAATCAGCTCTTGGTTTCTTGATTATTCTTTCTTGTTTCATTAAGTTTTATTTAATTGATTTCTCTTTCAATTTTTATTATTTTCTTTCTTCTGCTTACTTTGGTTTTAATTTATCCTCTTTTTCTAGTACCTTGAGTTGGAAGCTGAAGTCTCATATCCTTTTTTCTTTTCTAATCTAGGTGTTTAGTGCTATAAATTTACTCCTAAAGTTACTGCTTTCATGGCATCCCACAAATCTTGATGTGTTGTTTTTATTTTCATACAGCTCAAAATGCTTTCTGATTTCCCTTTTTATTTTTTCTTTGAGCCATGGATTATTTAGAAATTTAATTTTTAAATATTTTGAAGTTTTTCGAGAGGTTTTTCTGTTACTTATTTCTGATTTAATTTATTATAGTTAAAGGATATACTTTGTATGACTTGAATCTTTCCGAATTTATTGAGACTTCTGTTATGGGTATGTGGTATACCTTGATACATGTTCCTTGTGCACCAGACAAGAATGTGCATTCTGCGGTTGCTGGATGAAGTGACCTATAGCTGTCAGTCCAGGCAGGTTACTTGGTAGTATTGTTCAGATTGCCTGTTTTCTTGTTGATTTTCTGTCGAGCTGTATATTAATTACTGAGGATCAGATATTGAAATCTTTGATAATAATTGTAATTTTTTTTATTGTCCACAAAGCCTGGCTGAGACATATACTCCAAGTACTGTGTGATTGTGGAATCCATTTGAGTAGGGATTATGTCGCATACGTCCTTTGATCCCAGCCCATAGTAGTGACCATTAAGTAAAACATGATGTTGGCAATATTAGCATTATTTATTATATGTATTTAGCTGACCTTAGTTGTCTATTCGAAGGTTGTATTTAGATGAGATGCCTTTTCAGTAAAAACATCCCGAGCATTTGCTTTTCACTTGATCCATTTTACTTGGAAAATAGTTACAACATAAAAATTAATCTGTGTGTTAGAAAATGACTAGAATTTAGCTATGAATTCAAAGTTTGATTCCATTAGAATGCCAATGAGCTTTTGCTTTGACTAGGCATACTCAATAGACATTCAATAAAGGTTATATTAGGAAAAAGTCTTTAAAAATTTGAAATAAACTTATATTGTGACCTAATGTGTGCCATTGCTATTAATCTCAGGGGCATTAAATGTTTTATTCTTTTTCCCTAAGATGGTTTGTACATCATTTGGATAACTTATATGATTTTTTTTTTTTTCTCCTCAGAGCCATAGACATTCTGTGTGTATACGGCCACATCTTCCTTATTTCAATGTGTCACACCAGTTTGCTACCTTCGTTCTTAAGGGTTCTTTCGTAAGTAAATATGTGGGATTTTATTTTGGTTTTGATTTTGAGAACTTCTGTATTTTATCACAGGCTAGCAGTTCTTAAGTGAAGTCTTATATTACAATCATTAAGAGTTTGCATGTGAATGAATGGCCCTGTTGTCTTCTTTCTGCAGACTTGTTTTAGACACTACGGAAGCCAGTAGGAGGTAAAACTCTCTGTGGCTTTGATGAACATTTAACAAAAATCACCTGCAAGAAAGTCGTTCTTATTGGTAGAAGCATCAATTATGTAATCTAGGGAACTTTAAAGCATTGATCTTTTCAGTACTCTGTACAAAAAATAAAAAGACACTAGATTCTAGCTATTCCTACTTACTGTTAGATTTAAATACAGAAAATACAGTATACTTCCTGACTACTAATTGCATTAAGATTGTTTTTCAATACCAGAACATTCTTAAAAAGCTTTTATATAGGCGTGGTAATGAGTACCTTTGAAGCAAAGGCACTGAAGTCTTTTTAAACGTTTGCTAAAAGTCTGTAGATTTACAGGAAATAAAATATGTGCTTGAATAATACCTTTCTATTCTCAAAATGTTACTATTTAAAATTTCAGATGGGTCTTTGGTAAATAGAAATAGACTGCACATTGTCCTTAATTGTTCTTGCTGGTGCTGATTTTGGAAATTCTCAAAAAGGTTATTATGAACCACTCAGCTGTGCTTTTGTGTGTGTTTTCTCCTTAGAGTGAAATACCAGAGATGCAGGTGTGGTATACCAAACTTGGAAAAGCACCCGAGAGAGTTATTTTCAAACAACTGGATTCTCTATGGGTAGTTTTAAAATAAATTCTTATATTTTGAACATTACAACAGATAAGGGGGACAGAATTTGATTAATGAATTAAGAATTTTTAATTTTATAATTTATTTTGTGGCTGAAGCATAATAGAGATAAAGTTGTCCCCCAACTTTTTTTTTAATAGAAATCCTCTACAATGCAGTATAGAAGAAGTTTGTGTTTTATAGCTGTGTTTGTTTTCTCAGGTGTTTAATTTGTCTTGGTGAATGGTACCACTGTCACTTGGATCCCCAGCTCAGCTGTTTGAGTCTCATTTGAAACTCTCTTTCCCACTCACCACCAGTGACCAAGAGTAGTCAATTCTATCATCCACATATTTCTCTCACCTATTCCTTATTGTCTGTTCCCACTGCTACTGCTTGTTTCAGTTCTTCATTGTCTCCCTCCTGGATTATAGAAACTACCTATTTTTTCAGCCACTAATCTGACCGTCCAGGCCAACCACCACACGGCTACCGGAGTGATGTATCTAAAATGCAGATCTGATTTTTATCAAACTCTTACTCTAAGTGCCTCAGCGATTTTTCCTGTGAGTTCACATCTCTTCCTGTAGCCCACGACCCTTGTTGTCACCTCATGACGTAATAGACTGCTTTTCTTTCGAGATGCATGTCCTGCTGCACTGGGCTCTCCTCACGGACTAAACTTCTTGCATTTTTCAGAGCACAGCATGCCAATTTAATTACTTCTGTGACTTTGCACATGCTTTTTCTTCCTCTGAGAATGCCTTCTCCACATATCTTTGCCACATATCTTTGACACTTAGTGCAAGTGTCACTTCCTCTGGGGCTTTTCCCACAAGTCTTAGCGCATGGCCACCTAGGAATATGCACTTACCTAGTTACACACTTCCCCAGCTACACTGGACACCTTGAGGATTGGAACCCTGCCTTATTTAACTTTTTATCCCAAGTGCCTACTATAGTACTGAGCACATGATGGTTTCTCAGGAAATATTACAAAGAATGAATTGGCCTACTTTTCCTGGTAATTATTAATAGTCTGTGAATTCACTAGTCACTGTCAGTGATTGAACACCCATTACATATTAAATTCCAAAAAGAGAACACTCTTTACTTTTTGTACAATGTATTGCTAGAAATAACATAATAAAATTGATTTTCTCCATAGGAAAAATAATATCATTTGGGGTTATTTCTGAGTCAGAATATGGTGTTAGATATTTCATAAATCTGACCGATTTATAATTAAAGCACAGATATGGTATAAACCCCTTTAATTCAAAGTAGAAAAATAAAGCTGCTCGAATGTCATAAAGTGGTCATTCATCTAATGACTACATATAGTAAGAAGGATTCCAGTGTCTTCAGTGTCTGCACTTAGCTCAGAATAGGTGTGGTAGAGAGAGTGCTTCTTGTAGGTGACACAGTGAGCTAAGAGCACTTTATACACATTATCTCATTTAATCCTTACAACAGTCCTATGAAGTATGTATTTTTTCCCTCATTTTGTAGATGAAGACTTGTTCTTTAAAGAGATTAAGTTGCTTAGACCATAAATATGGTATAAACCTAATTTGCTAATGGAAATATGTATTGAACATATAATGAGTTGGACTTTTTTTCTTCATAGTGAAAGATTTTCTGTGATTAAAATGAATCAACAGTGAGATCTTATGGATTTTTTCTACTTTAGTAAAGGCTTAGTAAAGTCCTAAAAAATAAATCAGCAGATCTCCTAGTTATGTGTATTGAATATGTACAAGCTTTAAGGAGCTTACAGTCTAATGGAAAAGAATAGACAAACAGAAATAGATTTGGGGTTCATCTAGTCCTCCTTCCCTCCATGAAGTGAAATTCTTTTAAAATCCTTTCCATAAAGTATAATTTTATAAAGTCTTCAAAATAACTTTAAAAAAATTCCGAAGGCCTTAATCTTGGCTGTGTCCTTCACAAGTGGTTAGGCAGTTCAAACAGAAATGAGTTTGGCTTATCGTTAAGATTATTTTTTAAAAAGCTGTTTTGCCCAAATGAGATGAGCCAGAGCACCTGCCCTTGAACACAGCGTGTGTTTTTTCAGCTGCTCGACAGCGGTGGCCGTTTCACGCTGGAACTGGGGGAGGACGAGCTGTTCACAGTCACCACTCTCACCACCGGCAGCAAAGGCAGCTACCCGCTGCCTCCAAAATCTAAGCCCTTCCCACGTGTCTATAAGGATGATTTCAATGTCGGTAAGTTGTTTTTTTTTTTTTAACTAAATCTTGGCTTGGTTTTCCTCCTTAGCAGTAGCAGAGAGATTTCTGCCCATCATGCCAGTGCATGATGGAGTGGCTGTGAAAATTACATTCATTTAGCTCTGAATCTCTATCCAGTAAATGAGGCCTAATTGTGTTATTTCAAGGCGAACCTCAATTTGAGGACCCTGTATTTTTCAGTGCCAAAAGAAATGTAGAGGTCACTGTCAGAATGAAAGTTAAAATTCTAACTTGCGTTTGGGTGAATCTTAAGATTTGTGACACTGCTACTGCTCGGTTATCCATGTCTCATGAAAGCCATTATTGACACTGTCCCTTTGTGTACAGGTTAAGGCATGTTAATACCTGTCTTTCAGCAGCGCCAGCAGACTGAGTGCCCGTGGGCAGCTGTGCTGTCCTTGGGTAATCTAACTCCCCACCCTCTAGCTGAGTGCCCGTGGCAGCTGTGCTGTCCTTGGGTAATCTAACTCCCCACCCTCGGAGTTTTATATTTGCATTCTCCTGGTTTTCTGGGAAGATCTGCCTTAAAGCTGTTAGAAAAGCTTTTGATTCTAGGTAATTTAGAAAAACAGTTTGCAGTTAGAAGGCATGGACACTGTGGTTATTTTCCTAGATCGCTCAGCAAGTGGCAAAAGTTGGTGACTAGTAAGTGTTGTTAGTAGCTTTGTGGACTTCACAGACAGGATCAGGTGGCTCTTTGCTCTGCTCCTAACACCTACAGCTGTAGCAGAGAAGTGGGGAGGGAGACTGGCATTGCCAGAGCGGCTGGAACCTCCTGTTGCTGCAGAGTCTCCACCATGGATGGAGACTCTGACCATCTGCGAGGAGTCTTAGCTCCTTTCCCAGGAAGCAATCTCATGGTTGCTTGGAGTATAAGGCCCTTTGCACTGTGTACTGGAGTCCTCACAGTTATTTGGGTAACACAGACAACAGTGGCCCTCAGGGGAGCTTGGTGCTTTGCTTTCTTACAGCTCTCTGAAATAGACGAATCCATTAATTTTGTCAACTGCAAGTGTCTTAGCGATTTGTTGCTCAATTCTCTGTTGGCAAGGTAACCCTTCTTACCCTCAGTAGGTGAGTCTGTGTGGGAGACAGCCTACTTAATGAGATTGAAGAACTTGTGCCAACACCCAAACTATTTATTCTGTGACCTGAAGACTGAAAGGCAACTCTTAACATTCAAATCTAAAATGTAATGCATTATTGGCTATAAAATAAACTAAAAACTAAAGTTAAAAACTATAAGCCAGGCTTTAGGACTACTTTATAGGGTTCTTAATATCTCAGATGATACGATCAATGTGAAAATACTTAGAAATCATGAGGTGCAAAATAGCTATACCGTATTATGACTAAACTTGCTCTTCTGTAGTCTTCATCATTATGACTATAATTTAATAAAACTGAGACAAGATTGACATATAGTTTAGACTCAAAACTCCCCCAACTTCCATTTTAGAAATAGAAGAAAAATAGAAGAAAACTTATAACTTCTAAATTTCATTTTGGCATAATAAGCCTTTTCTTATGTTCTCACTGTGACCGGTGATTTAGAACCTTGTTTGAGTCTTCTATCTCTTATTGAGCCTTTGCTAGGTGCTGGCTTATGTACACACTTGTATATGTTCACCTATTTCTCTTTGCCCCACTTAGAAATGAGGAAATTTGAGAAATAGGGTAGTTAAGCAACTTGCCCAGGGGGACGGACTGAGCTAGGATTTGAACCCAGGTCTGTCTGACTCCAGAATTCATGATCTTCCCTCTTAAGCAATTGCATGGATTAAATATGTAAAGTCTGTGTGCCAAACTGATCATACCAATATTTAATAAAGATGATATAAAAATCAATATCTCTATCAACCTAAACCCTAATCTTTGACTAGTTATAAGTATCATTTATTTATTTAAAACTTTTAAAAGTGTTTCATGAAATATCAGTGAGGAAAGATTCTCTTAAAGATTTGGTACTAAACAGAACTTATGTGTCCTGAACAGACTACCCGTTTTTCAGTGAAGCTCCGAATTTTGCTGACCAGACTGGCGTGTTTGAATATTTTATGAATGTCGAGGACCCTGGAGAGCATCGCTTCACACTCCGCCAGGTTCTCAATCAACGACCCATAACTTGGGCGGCCGATGCGTTCAACACGATCAGTGTTATAGGAGATTACGAGTGGTATGTAACATTGGCGTGCTAACGGAGATCCGACTGAAATAACCTCGTAATGTCGTCAGGTGTATGCTGAAGCAAAGACTCTTCACTAGCCCTCCTCGCTGAGAACCCAGTGGCCGTGTGACAGTTGTTGAATGTCACGGCGACCACAGACTAGCAAATCGTTCCACTGCTTCAGTTTCCTTCTCTCAGTTTCCTTTGCCCAGTTCGATAGTGATTATTATAGGAGCAGATGGATTTTAATATAAAAACTGAGGACTTTTGGACTCAATAATAATTTAGTATTTATTTATAAACAGACTTTGTGATCTATGTGTTGTTTTTTGGTTTGTTTTGCTGCTGTGTTGATTTGTTGATCTACTGTTGCCACCTGCTGGATCCATACTAGAATTTCACGGTTTAGCCTTTGTAGAAAATGTATTTATTTACCAGGTGACAGTAGATGGCAATAGTAAAAAGCAAATCAGCTTTTAGTTGCAAGTGAATTCAACTCTTTTCTTTCGGCATCTGGTAAAGAGACAAATCGTATTTATTCTTCACTTAAAATACAATGACCTTCTCCAAACTTCACCTTCTCCTTTAAGTCAGTCATGGAATTCCAGGGCATGGCTTATTATGCCTGTTGTTGGTGTTTCTTTCTTATTTGTTCTTTTAGCTAGCATAATTCCACTGTGAAGCATAAAACACAAGCATTCCAGGTTTGGTGATATATCCATCTATTAATGACAAATCACCAAACAGCCATATCTGTAGGTTAGCAATCAGACAGGGAAGGGAAGTTAATTCTGAAAAGAACCTTGGTGGTTTATCTGTGGAATATTGCAGAAAGTCTTTATCTCTCTTATACTGCCATACTTCCTGTTATCAATCCCAATTCTAGACCCAAACTCTGATATAAGTTTTGAGAAACTTGCAGCTATCCACAGTTTCTGGAAGGCTTGCAGTACCATGGAGAGTTAGTTATTGGGGTATAGTGAAGAATTCTTGCCTTATTTAGGGTGACTTTGGCAGCTTCTCTTTTTAAACAACAAATGCTATTTATCATCTGTAGAGACACTTTACCTGGATTTTCTGATCACGTCAGTGGGGTTTGCGATTCTCTCATTGCTTACGATGGTCTTATTGTAAGACAGGTGGTTAGGTTTAAGCATCTAAGGGATGGGCCCCATTATTTTGATCACCAGTTTGAGAGCCAGTCATCATATAAAACCTTTAACTTTCTGTGACAACCATTATCCCCCACCCCGGTGAATACTATAGAGAGCTCCCTCTGAACCCAAACTCTCTTATTTCAGGCCAGAACTCCAGAAAAATTGAGAGACTCTAATTGTAGTTGGGAGATGAGATAGAGTAGAATCAGAAAGATTAACCAAAACTCTTCATAACTTTGAAGATTTTGTAGTATTTAAATAGCAGTATTTAATCTTTGCTGTTGCAGTGGGTAATGACGAGGGGATGAGGAAGATGGGGAATGTGAGGGGAGAGGGAGAGAAACAGACCAGGGAATAGCAATTGTGCATGTTAAGAAAAGACTGTTTTCAGCTTTCTTAATCCCTGCTTTTATCAAGAATGTGCAGTAACTGTCTCCGATTACCAAATCAGACCTGTACTTCTGCGCCTGGCTTCTAAGACCCTTTAAAACTTGGTCCCATCCTGTCATGTATTATTTCCAGGTATTTCATCCTGTATTTGAGATAGTCAGATCTGTTCAAAGCTCCACACACATCCCATGTTCATGTCTATTATCTGGTTGTGATGCCCACTTATTATAGGGAAAGGAAGGAATGAAAACTAGGTAATGCTAACATTGGGGTGAGCCTCCCACAACCACCTATGGATGAGGCATCGTCCTCTCTACCTTATAGATTGAGAAGCTGAAGCTTCAGGATAAGGTTTTTCTGTGATCCCATGTGTGTAAGTTCCAGAACCTGGGAAAGAAGCCAGGTCTGTCTGGAGCTGTAGCCCATGGTCTTTGGGCCATACTTCATTTTAATATCATCTTCTTTTTCAGAGTAAAAAATGGAAAATTAGTGTGTTTTCTCTACAGTGCGGTTTAGTAGATCAGCTCTCACCGTGTGCAGTGTCCTCAGTTCTTAGAATTATGTTTGCGGTGCAGCTTCCTGTCTCATACTTAGATGTGGTGATTTAAGTGAACTTTGCTTTCCATCTTGTTAGAAGCTTTGACTGGGATCAGAAGATCATCGCAAAATTACCTTTCATTGCACATGTCTGAACTCTGATCCCTTTGATCAAATTTGCTTAATATGTTGACTGGTTTTGTTCTCCCGACACCACTGAGAGATTATGGCTACGGAAGACTAAACCACACTTTCATTCCATTTTATTCATTATCTGTAAAATTGCCTGCAAGTTTTGATGCAGGAATCCCTTATTCTAGAATATGATGTAAAATGAAGGGAAAAGTTTGATCTTTTTAATCACTATACTCTAAATAGAATAATTTTATGGTGTTAACAGTATCTGTAGCACTTTCAAACTTCTAGTAAACCAGAAAAGAGGTAGAGATGTAAAGGACAACGTTGATCCTTGGTGGTTCCATGCTGGTGGCATCTACGGAAAGAAACATTCCCTCTCCTGTAGGAGGACGCACCAGAGAGACTGGATTTTCGTTACTTAGCATTTGATTTTCCTGTAAAGCAGCCCAGCTCCGATTAGAGGACTAAATGTGGATTTCCCAGACTGTGTGTACCTGTCCTAGGTACTTCCTCTTTACATTTTCATTTACGTAGTAAAATTCACTATGCAAAATGCACTGATGAGAAGAAACTCTGAGAAAGATAAAAGACGCTAGATCCAGTTTTCTCCCCATTTCCAATATAGTTTTTGGTGTTCTTAGTTTCGTTTTAGATAAATTGCTTGCTTTATTACTTGGCTGTGTTCAGACTTTCCTTCTCATTTGCATTTAGCTTTTGAGTAGGAGGCGAATTATCGTCAGAGCTCTTGTTGGTTTATGGTGGCCGTGTCATTGTTTAGGGTGGCCCTGTCATTGCGGAAGGTATCCAGTAGCTTTTATGGAAGGAAGCCTGGAGGAGAGCTCTGATTAGAGCCCTGCTGGGCCCTGGCGGGCTGAATCTTTCCCCTCCTTTGATCTACTCTGCCTATCAGTGTCCCGGATCCGGAGCCTTACTGCTCCGTAGACAGAGATGCTCTGCCGGGGAGAATGGTTCTCGAAGTGGGGTTCCCTGACCAGCGGCATCAGCATAACATGGGTGGGAATCATTAGACAGCGGATCCACGGGGCCCGCCCCAGACCTGCTGGCCCAGAGCCTGTGGGACAGGACCAGCCTCTGAATGTAACAAGGCCTCCAGGTGGCTTCAGAGCTGCTCAAGTTTGAAAACCCCTGCTGTAGAGTTGACTTTCTCTGCAGAAAGATAGTTTAAGATCTTTCTTCTGTAATTTTTAAGTCTTATTAGGGTTACATGTAAAAATTAGCCTGAAGTCCTTCAAATTCTCCCAGGGACTCCTCGCTTTGCCTTCACTGCTCCTCTTTGCTGATGGAAACGTAATAAAGTTCTTTGTTCAGAATTGTGTGGAAACTTACCTTTTATATATTTCTAGAAGAAATGGTTTCTTTTAATATTATATATTCTTAGGACAAGAAGGTGTTTTATTACAGAGACAAGAAACGTATTCTTAAGAAACTTAAAAACAGTAAATATTATTTTCCGGTAACTCATTAAAAGAGGCAGTGAAATGACTTGACTTTAGTCATGTAAAACTTACAGTCGTCATCAATGAAGACTTAGCAAATCACACACTTACCTCAGCTACAGGTTTGGAAACATGTGGCTGTGAAATGACAACTTTGTGCCACACTTGCACTAACCAGCAGTTTCATTCCACAGGTCCAATGTGACTATCAAGTGTGATGTTTACATAGAGACCCTTGAGAAGGGAGGTGTGTTCATTGCCGGACGAGTAAATAAAGGTGGGATATTGATTAGAAGTGCCAGAGGAATTTTCTTCTGGATTTTTGCAAACGGAACCTACAGAGTTACAGGCGATCTAGGTAAGTGACTTCTTCTATGGCACATGGCTTTGTATGCAATGTGGTACCGTGAGTATCTGCGTGTTACTTATAGGAGTAATGAAAGAGCTTTACCTCAAGGTGCTTGAACATCTGATTGGGAAAAGATTCAACACATGTAAGCAATACCAAATGATTCAAAATTATAAGTTAATTAATTAGTGCAGAGAGAGGCAACTCAGTAAAAGAGAATGGTACAAAACTTTTCTGGATGTTGCAGAGTCGAGCCAGGATTTCTGGATGTCGGAGTAGGATTTGCAGAGACTGGCGTGAGGTGGTAGTTGCAGGGTGGGGCAAGGATGCTCAGGAAACATTGTAAATAACAACAAGACTCTGAAAATGTTGCCACGGTGCTTGTGGAACTAAGGAGAGGGATTGATTTGCTTAAAATGGAGTAATCCTAGTTCCTAGTTTCGTTAATAATTTGAAAGCAGTGTGACTTTTCTCATTCATCTTAACAGCCCTTGTCTCATGTAGAATAGTATTTTATCCAGGTTAGTTGCTGGATGATGTTTAGTCGAATTCCATCCATGTCCCTTTGGTTTGATATGCACACCGCTCCACTGAAACTAGACCTTTTTGGTGGTGAAAGATCTTGATTCTCAGTCTCCTGACTTTCCTCCTGCATTAATAAAACATCTTCTGTCTTATAGTTTGCTGCTCATTGCCTCTTCCTAAGGTGAAAAGGGCTTTGTAAATAAAATAAAAATCAAAGAGGGAGTGGGTAGTAATAAGTACATTAGAGTAGAAATTACATAATCAAAGTGTGACAGATCTAGAAGGTACTTCATATTTTCCAATCCAAAACAGAGAGCCAGAGAGGTTCATTGATTTGCCCAAGGTCTCAAAACGAGTTAGTGGCAGAATTGGAAGTAGGAATTTAAATCTGCGTCCTCAGTCCTCACTCTCTGTGTTTTAAACTGCTCACTTAACATCTCTGGGTTTCTCTCAGGCACTCGAATATAATACATCCAGAAATTAACTCATTATTTTTTCTCTCTAATTCTCAGTGAACGCTATTAGCATGTAACCAATTATACCAGCTAGAAATTTTATGGTAGTCTTTAATACTCTTTATCCTCCATATTCGATCCAATCAGGTATAGGTATATACTGGAGCTGTAAATGCTAATGCATTATACTACAGTTGGTTTGTAATTTATTTCACTGGCTCTGTTGTGAGCTCACAGGTAGTATATGGCTCAGAGTAGGATCTCAATACATGTTTGTCGAATGCATGCCCGACTGAAGGATGTTTTGTTTTAAATAGGTTTCTAGACCTGGAAATGTAGATCTTCATTAGGGCTGACTTTACTATGTATGAATGCCACCTGAGAACCCTCACCGAGTTTTGTGATTCTGTGATTTAGATTTTAAAAATATATCAGTTAAGATAATCTTTTTGTGTTGCAGCTGGATGGGTGATATACGCTCTAGGACCAGCTGAAGTTATAGCACAAGAATGGTACACACTCACTTTAATTATTAAGGTCAGTATTGCTGGTCAGAATGCCTGGAGGTAAAATGTTCTTTTCTTTTGCCTTTCTAGCATTTCCTGTTAACACATGAGAGGGGAGAAAGTGTGATAAATAATTAAAATTGGCAGAGAATCTGCCATGATACCAGCAAACCACCACTCCCTAGGATGACAGTATGTGTCAGGGGTAAACCCACCTGAGAACCATCAGCAGTTAATTTTATCACCCTAGTATTGTTTAAAGTTTTGTTTCTGGTTTTTAAACTCAGGAATAATTGGTAGATATGGTCAATAATATAACTTTTTTTCAAATTTGCTTGAACCAAGATTATAATTGAAGCTTATAGGTATAAGCAAAGTCACATAAATTTATGTTTGATGGTTGAAAATAATTTGGTTTTCAACTGTAAGCACAATATTTTAGAAGTTGGTTTCCATGAATATGTTTGTCAGAGAAGATACGAGATTAATTTTAGTGCCATGGGTATCTAAAAATATTTGTCAAAATCACTGGTTAATCATGAGTTACTGATTGATATGCTTCTGAGGGATGCTATGTGGAGAAATTCTACTGTATAGTACTCTGCTTTCTACCAAGATAATCCTGTCATAATTTAGTTCAGGTCACAATAGAGATTAAAAATGAAACTCAAATAAGTTTTTGAACTTCTTCTCTTCTTATCCAACCACCAAAAATGACAATACTGATATTTCAGCCAGTGTCAGTGTGTACTGACACTCTGATTTGGGTGTAGCATAGTTTATTTAATGGGCATAACACTTGATGGACATAACTCTGTACACAGCCCTTTCCTTTTGCAGTGAACTGAGGCAGTAAGGGCTGCCTTTTGCAGATAGAGGGGAGGGGTCTTTTATGTGCCTCTTGGGGTGCACATATTCTGTTATTTGTTCAGGCAGATATTGAGAAGTCCAATTTCATTTTAAATTTTGCTAGCCAAACTGTTAATTTTTACAGCTGTTGTAATAATATTTGATATCATCGAGTTTTAGGGATTTTTTTTTCAAACTAATGGACATGATTTGTATTTCCTTGATAATTAGGCACTTTGCACATCTCATGTTTATTGGCTATTTGTATTTTCTTTTCTCTGAAGTTACCTGTTGGCATTCGTTCTGCATTTTCCTATTGTGTTGCCTTTTTCTGATGGATCTGTGTGAATTTAGTATATGTTCTGGGTAGTAACCCATTGTCTGTTATATGGGTCACAAATATTTTCTTCTCTTCTCTCATGATGTATATTTTAATTTTGCTTATGGTATGGTCCATGAATCGAAATTAAAAATTGTTGTACTGTGAAATAGTTCACTCTTTTTTTCATTGCTGTTATGTTTTGCTTAAGAAGGTCTTCTCCTTTAGGCTAGGAATGTTTTTTCCCCCCAAACTAAACAGAGTTTAAGATGTTCATTTTATGTTTAAGTCTTCAAGCCATCTGTAATTTATTTGTGAATTGTAAAGGGAAGAGCCCAATATAATTAAAAAACACACACACAAATGGATAGCTATCATCATTTATTAAGGCTGTCCTTTTGCCCACGATTTAAAAGCTACTTTTTTTTTCTCGCTCTAACAAAACATCACATGTGCATAGGCTGGTTTCTGAACATTTTTCTGTTCTTTATATTGTTTTGTTTGTTATTATCTAGTATCACATGTTAAATTGTGTTAACTTTCTAAAGTCTATGATTTCATGGCTCACTCTCTAACTTCCTTCAGACCTCTTTCCTGACCACCATATATAAAATAACACTCATCTCATTCTCCATTCCTCTTCCCTGGCTTTCTTTCTCTTTAAAGCTCTTATGACCTGCTGACATCATACGTATTCTATTGATTGTTCGTATGTTAGTCCTACTCCCTTCACTAGAATATAGCTCCTTTAATTACAGGCCTCTGTTTTACTCACTGCTGGTTCTCAGCTGTCAGAGTGAGGGGCCCAGTGAATAGTTGGGGAATGAACTGAGTGGATACCACGGTGGCAATTTTTTAAAAAAAATTTTAATTAGAGTTGACCTTCATAATACAAAAACTAATATTTTATATTAGTTTTGGGCATACAGGACAGTGCTTAGACATTTATATAATTTATGAAGTGATTCTCCTGATTAGTCTGGTGCCCACCTGGCACTATACCTAGCTCTGGCAGTATTACTGGCTATATTTCCTGTGCTGTACCTCTTTATTTCTTTTTTCAAAATTATTTTTGCTATTCTAGTATATTTATTCTTCGACTTGAATTTTTAAAATATCTTTTTCTATTTCATGAAAAATGCTGCCAGTATTTCACTGAATTTATACACCAATTTGGGCAAAAATAACATTTTTTTGGAATAATGTGTTTCCCCATGTAAGAACATGAGAATTGGAACATTCTGCATCTCATCTTTTATTAAGATCTCCCACAAAGTCCTTCAGGTTTATTTTTGAGTTCTCGTTAGGTTCATTTTTAGTAATTTTGTGAAGTTTTTGAATTCATGAAAGGATTTAAAAAATAGATTTCCGTAATTGTTTTCAGATACTTTGCATAAATGGTTAAAAAACTCGAAAGGGCACGTGAAAATGTGCGCTCCTGCCTCACCTCTTGTTCCCTCTTCCTCACCTGGTCCTCTGAAACAGCCACTCTGAACGGTTTTAGCAATTTCTTCTGGTATCTGTTCAATACAGTGTGATTTATTACTTTTAGAAATTAGCTCTGGTCTTGCTACGGGATAGATAGAGATTTTGCTGATTTACACCCACTCCACACCCCCGGCCCCATTATTTTTTGTTCCATCGACTGTGGCATCCTGCTTCTCCCCTGCATCTCAACCCTCTGTGCATTCTCAGAGACCAGCTCCAACTCTCCCATCAAAAGTACTCTCTCAGGCACCCCGCGCCATGTCATCCTGTTTGAATTCTTCATACGCCACTCATCGCTTAGCATTTATTGATCGTGTGTGTGTTCGTGTCCTTCTACTAGAATGCATGCTCCATAAGAGCAGGGACTCTGTCTTTCATGTCGATCTTGAATTCCCAGTGCATTTAACATTTGGCATATGAATATTTGCTGTGTAAATGAAAACAACAAAACATCTTCTATGATGTCCATTTTCCAAATTATAGCTAATGTGAGAATTTTATCATTTTAACATGGGCCAGTTTTGAAATCTTCTCAGCACACGTCAAGTGTTATATACCCTCATCACTGTTGTGTAGTGGTTAGACTAATAGTCTTTAAAGTCTGTTTTGTTCATTTGCAAGTATTTTATGTTGCTCAGATTCTGTTTTCCCATTCATGATGTGAAGACACACCCTTCTTATGAAGATTGCATGGGGTCCCATATATGAAAGTTTGGTACAGTACCTGGTATGTGGTAAGCGCTTAATGAATCAAGTTAATATTCTTAGGAGTAGATGTATTTGGAACCAGACAGACCAGCATTCCGATTTCCTTGCTGACACATACTCAGATTTCCAGCAAGTTATTTCACCTTTTTGAGCTTCTGTTTTTGTTTTTATTTTTGTTTTTTAACTGTAAAGTGGAGATAACTTCTGTAAGGTTGCATTAGGGTCAATTGTTTTTTATTCTTTCCTCGACACATTTTTACTAAGCATTCACTATATGCACTTAGTTCTAAGTCTCAGGGATACAGCAGTGAACAAGACAGATGCGGTTCCTTCTTTCTCAGAGCCTTCTCGGACAGGGTTTGTTGGCGAACTTTCCTGCAAAGGGCCAGATAGTAAATATTTTACACTTTGTGAGCCTTGTGGTCTGTGCTGCAGCTACTCAACTCTGCTTTCGTAGAGAGCCATAGACAGTAAGTAAATGGATGGGTGCAGCTGTGTTCCAATAAAATTTTATTTATAAAGATAAGTGGCTGGCCTGTGGGCCACAGAGGGCTAACTCCTGTTCTAAGACAGTAAACTCATAGATAAATAAATAAAACGTTGGAAAAAAAAAAAAAGAATGGAATAATGAGATAAAATAGCTCCCCTGCCCCGTATTCTCCAGATGGAGAGGTCAGGGCAGACCTGTTAGAATTGGTGATGTTTGAGCTGATACCTGAATGATGGGATGAGCAGTCTGAGCAGGGGGCCTTGCTCTGACTGGCCCTGTGTGAGGAGCAGCCAGCAGACCAGGGTGGCTGATGCCTGGAGGTGAGGGGAGAGTTGGAGATGTGTGGAAATGGAGATAAGGTACTGTCAGACAGGTTTGTGCTTCATGTGATTTGTGTATGTGAGTCCCTTAGCTCAGTGTTAACATTCGCTGTTTCCTACGTGGCAGAAGATGTTCGGTAAGCACTTTTAGAGCTGAAGATAGCTGAGCATGTGCATAGCGATAGGAACGTTTGTGGCTGTGAATGTGGAGTGGGAAAATTCCAGCCCTAGCTCTGATGGTAAATCTGTGGCTTTGATTTTCAATCTTAAGTCTCAGTATCTTCATCTGTAAAATGAAGGAACTAAAGTAAGGCCCATTGCATTATATGGCTTGAAGACAGATTTTATTTTGCTTGTTGGCCTGGTGCTTTAGATATTTAGCTCTTCGTCCTTTGAAATCAGCTAGTTTTAAATGTTTAGCTGTAATTGGTATGCTGTGAGTATGTGCTCGTAAATGTGCTATAATAATGTTAATAAGAAGCTGGCATTTATTGTTCACTGTGTGTCAGGCACTTAGGTAACCAATGCAGCCTTCTTAAGAAGGACGTTATTTTATCTTTCTCTGTCAGTGACCAGTAAGTCATTTCTATGGATACTTCCCTTCTTACATCCCCTCTCCCTCAATCGTCACTGATGGTTACTATTTTTCTAATGTAAGTGTGGCCTCTTCATATGCCTTTGAAGTGATGTTCTGTACTTGGGGACACAAAAGACTTAAATAAATGGACGTTTTGGCTCTGGCAGTCATGTCTGAAGAGCTGGTGGCTGTTAGTCACAACACACACACATGCAATGGCTTATAAATAGCAAATGTTTTTTATTTTAGTGGACTCGTCTAACATCTTATAATAATATTATGAAAAGTTTTATGTTTCTGTCAGTTTTACAACACTTTGGTGGAGTACGAGGAAATACTGAAGTATCCCTTGTGCCTTGGAAACTCCTTACATAGGTAGATAAGAATTTCCTCTAAGAAAATTTTCCCTGTATTTCAAGCTTTTGCTCCAACTCGGTGGAATTATGTTTTGCTGTGATAAATCTTAAGTGAGAAGGATATTCACTCCACTGAGTGCGTGGGCCACACGCTATTAAGAAATAGACTTCAGAGAGTTGTTTTCATGTCTCCAAGGGCTGCCTTTCTGTCTGCCCCAGGGTCCCCTCGTCTCCGGCATGCTGAATGGCAAGTCCCTCTGGACAGACCTCCACGTGAGTTTCCCGGAGAATGGCTGGGCCGCTATCGGAACGCAATCCTTTCAGTTTGCGCAGTTTGACAACTTCCACGTGGAAGCCATGCCCTAATCTTCTCAGGGCACCATAGAACACGCCGGACTTTCTTTTTGGTTTTGCTTCAGAGCCAATTCTTGTTTTGATGGATCAATCTGTGAGCCTCTTGGAGGCTAAAAATAATGAAGAGCAAATAGGGAGAAACGTTTATTTCTGCTTGATCCTGTGGAAGATTATTATTATTATTATTATTTTTAGAACTAATTCCAAGAGAACCAGATGACTCTTTAACATTGCCTGACATGCCCCCTACAAGTCAAACTGTACTGGCCCCTCCCTTAGGAGCGGTTTGGGTGGTCCAGACCTCGAAGCCTTGGCGCTAATGCTGAGGTAACGCTCCTCATCTTATTTGCAAGTGATCGTGCTAATGGCAATAACTCGATCATCACAGAGATGCGTTTATTGTGCTGATGTGTGTCTAAGTGAGCCGATGTCCTCGTCCTGAGAGAATGCCATTCTAGGAAGCCGAAGAACCCTAGAATCGCTGCTTCCTGAAAGCCACTTCAGCATGTTATTCTAAAAATACACTCTACAAAGTATTTTTTTTTTCTTTTTTAAGATGATGCTTTTGAATTATAGATATGATAAGTGGGATGATTTGAAAAATGCCTCATTAATAAACTACCTCTAAAGCTATTTCTGCAATAATAAATACTAGCAGATTAATTGAGCTGTCTGTATTTTTTAATTCTTTCGGATCCACCTTTTAGCATTATAACCCTTCTAACTCTCTGTGAACGTTTTCCCAGGTGGCTGGAAGGAGGAAGAAAATCCTATATAGCCAATGGTAAGTGGGTCTAAAGATGAAATTGTAGCAATTTTGTCTCATTTCATTGTGTCTTTCATTGTCTTCTCATGTGTCACCAGTAACAGACTAAAATAGCTAATGAATTCCTTTATCTCTTTGTACGTGGAAGAAGGGGAACACTTAGCTGTTTGCTAATTTGTGGAATTGGATCATCCTCTAATATTTTGTGTGGTTAGATGCATTTGCTGAGCTGCAAATGTATTTATATTTAAATATGGGTGAACATAGTTCTCATCCACTATAATTTATGTTTAAGAATTAGTATACCTCCTAGAAACAACTCAGTTATTAATGTGGATAAAGTAAATTCTAGAATTCTTTATAATGAAAGTTTAAAACATCAATGAACTGATTCTTCAATTTTTTAATTTGTAATGGTTTAACATAGGCTAAACTGACATGAAGTTTTGTATTACTATTAAACAAGAAGCTAAATATTAGAATAAATTAAATCACAGAGAAAAAGTTTAAATTCAAACCAAGTCTAGATGATTTCCAGTTCAGGTTCATATATAATATATACATGAAAAAAAAATATATATATATTTTAAATTGAATATGAATAAATATATATATATATTTAAATTAACTTTACTGAGCGATAATTTACATACAATAAAATGTTCTCAGAAATTTTAAGCCTGCAGTTCAGTGAATCTTGGTAAATGAATTCATCCACGTAACCAACACCCCAACCCAGATATCAAAGAAATTTTCCCCCATCGCTCTGGAAAGCTCTCTTATACACACCTGTGCAGTCATTTCCTCTCACCCGCCTCCCTCCCGGTCTCAGGCAACCATTGATCTGATTTCTCTATCACCACTGATAAGTTTTCTCTGTTCCAAAACACTTTAAAAGTGGCATCAGACACCATGTACTCTCTTGTGACTGGTTCTTTCATTCAGCATAATGCTTTTGTGATTTGTTCATATTTCTGCTTTTATGAGTGGTTTGCTCCTTATTTCAGAGTATTCCATTGTATAGGTATACTGCAATTGGTCCCCCCAGTTTTGGTATTACAAATAATAAAGCTGTTATGAACATTTGCAAATCTTTGTGTGGACATATGTTTTAATTTCTTCTCGGTAAATACCAAGGAGTGAAATTGCTGAGTCTTTTGGGAAGTAAGTATATGCTTAACTTTATGAGAAACTGCCAAACAGTTTTCCAAAGTGATTGTATGATTTTACAGCCCCATTGGCAATGTTTGAAATGTTTGAGATGTTTGGTTGCTCCGCATTCTTGTCAGTGCTTCACATTTGTTGTTGTTTCAAATTTTACCCCTTCTTTGTGGGTGTGTAGTAGGTGCATTAGATGTTGAGCATCTTTTCATGGGCTTATTCATCATTCATATATCTTCTTTTGTGAAATGTCTGTTCACATCTTTCGCTCATTCAAAAAATTGTGTTGTCTGTTATTAATGAATTGTAAGAACTCTTTATATATTCTAGATTCAAGTTTCTTTTTCTTTATTTTTAAATCAGGTATGTTTTGTAGTTGTTTTATCCAAGTCTGTATCTTTTGAAGCGTGCAAAATTTTAATTTGGAAGTACAATTTATCATTTTTTCCTTTTATGGTAAGTGTTTTTTAGTGTCTTAAATCTTCATCTATCCCAAGTTTAAAATCAATTGACCATATTTGTGTACATCTAGAAATAAATTCCATTCTGTTCTAATGATTTAGATATCTGTCCTTAGGCAAATACCACACTGTCTTCTTTATTATAGCTTTATAGTAAATTTTGACTCCGTTTAAATCCCCCAACTTGTTCTTCAAAATTGTTTTAGCTAACCTAGGTCCTTTACCTTTCCAACTAAATTTTAGATTTATGTATCTGCAAAGAGATTTCTAGAATTTCAACTGGATTACATTGAAATTACAGATCAATTTGAGGAGAATGGTTATCTTAATATTTACCCTTCAATCCTTGAGTATGTTACATCTCCACATTTTCAGGCCTTCCATGATTTCAGCAATTTCTGTACTTTTCAGTGTACAGGTTTTGCACATTTTGTTAAGTTTATCCTTGTATATCTTATGTTTTTGTGATGCTATTGTAAATGCTGTTTTATTCTTATTTCATTTATCAATTATTTGTTGCATGTACATCAAGACACAGTTGTTCTTTTAATGTTGACATGCAATCCTACTGCATTGCTAAATTCACTTATTAGTTCTATTAGCCCCCTTTTTTAGGTAAATTCTTTAACATTTTCTACATACAGAATAACATTATCCGTGAATACAGATAATTTTATTCTTTCTCTTTGACATGTCTGCTTTATTTCTGGTGTCATTGCTTTATTGCACTGGTCGAGACTTACAGTACAGTGTAGAGGAGTGGTAAAAGAGACTTTCTCACCTTGTTCCTACGTTTTTCCCCATTAAGTGTGATTTGTCTATTGAGGTGTTTTTTGTTTGTTTGTTTGCTTGTTTGTTTTATTCCCTTTTGTAGTATTTTTTACCTTCTATTTCTGGTTTGCTGAGAATTTTTATTATGAATAAAGATTGAACTTGTTAAATGCTTTTCTATACCTAATGAAGTAGTTATATGATTTTTCTCCTTTGTCTTATTAAGGCGGTAATATCACATTGTTTGATTTTCACATAGTAAAACAACTTTGCATTCCTGACATCTGTCATGACCAAGTGGGGTCTATTACCATTTCTAAATTGCTGGATTCGATTTGCCAATATTCGGTAAAGGGTTTTGTGGAATGTGGGTCTAGTTTTTACCTCGTAATGCCTTTTTCTGGTTTCGGTGACAGGGTGATACCTCGTGAAACCAGTTGGGAAATGTTCCCCCCTCTCCTCCTTTTCTGACTTTGTGAGGTTCGTAAATCTTAGAGTTCATCAGTTGCATCTGTCAGCGTCCAGTCAAGAGAGAGAAGCCACACCAGGAAAAATTTAGAGTTTAACTAGCAGGATTAACTGCTAAACGGTAATGAGAATGCTAAGAAATCCAGAAAGAGCAGGTATAGAGACCAGGCCCTGCCTCGGCTGGGGCAGAGTACTCGAGGAAGGGCCCATTGGGAGGAGGCTTCCTTGCAAAACAGAGATTCCGATCTCATTGGAGGTGATGTGGCCTTGGCGCTGTGGCTTTCGTAGACGTTCGCTGAGATGGTGCGCGCTGGGGCTGGCAAGCAGGAAACTGCCCGACAGGATGAACTGGGAAGCTGCCTTCTGCGTGCTGCTAAGACTCCCTGGCAAGTTATCCCTTGTGGCGATGGTGGAACTTCCTGGGAATCCACCTGGGGTTTGGTGAAAATCAGCAGAGGTTAAATACCTACTGGTCGTCCCAGCCCTCACTGGAAGGGGTACATCACTGGGGGTGGCCAGCAGCCACTCACCACTGGAGCAAGAAGTCCCTGCAGTATCCTCTGTGTTGTCTGGAAAAAGAGAAAGGTTTACAGGATCCAGCTCCAGTATCACGAAGCAGGTCAAGGAAGAGACTCTGGGGGCTAATATGGCCGATTGGTGCTTTCCGTCTCTTAATCTTCATTACTATAGTTAGAGTTTTGCTGATTTTATTTCTCTTTCAAAGAACCAGGCTTGGTTGCTTAGAATGTTTTTCTTTCTTCTCTCTCTCTTTTCTTTTTCTATTTCATTAATCATTGCTTGTACCTTTATTTTCTTCTTCAGGTTTGATTTACTCTTTTTCTTGCTTCTGAGGATGTAAGCTTAGATCTCTAATTTTGGATCTTAAAATAGACATTTAACACTATAAAGTTTTCTCTAAACACTGACTTAGCTGCCTCTCGCATATTTTGATATTTCATATTTTTATTTTCATTCAGTTCAAAATGTTTTCTAATTTCTCATCTATTTTTTTTTTTTTACTTAAGTAGAAGCATGGTGTTTAATTTCTAAATACTTGAGAATTTTCCAGACTTTTTTCGTTATTAGTATTTAACCTAGTTCTGTTGCGTTCAGAGAATATGCTGTGTTTGATTTCAATTATTTTAATGTATCTAGACTTGTTTTATGAACTAATTTATCTCAGTATATCATTTGGAAAAAATACATTCTATAGTGGCTGGCTATAATGTTTACAAATATTTACGAAGTCATGCTGGCTGATTATGTTGTTTAAGAATTCTGTATCTTTACTGATTTCCTGTCTACTTGTTCTAGCAATTTCTGAGAGAGGAGTGTTAAAGTCTCCAAATACAGTTGTGTGTTTTCTATTTTCTCTTTTAGTTCTGACACTTTGATTTTGGGGGGAGGTGTTTGGAATGAAGAGTTGGTGGAAAGTAGCCCTTCCTCTAGATCTAGTGCGGCCCCGTTCCTAAGGCATGGCCTTCTCTGGACGCCGAATGAGCCCCCTCCACTTTGGCTGTTCAGCTCTTGAACTTCCCCCAGCCCTGTGAGAATTTTGATAGTTGTTCAGCTACCAGGTCCTTGGTAACTATTCTTTCCAAGGTGATTCTTTGCCTGGCCCACGGAGTTTCACACTGAGGACATCGCTTAGTTTAGAGCCGGAGATGCGCATAAACCCCTCTGCAGATTTCTGGGCCTCTTTCTCCATTGCTGTCTTGTCTCAGGTGCTCTGCACTGCGTATTTTGGGTGCCTCGGTCTCCTTGAACTTTGCTTTATCTCCACAGCTCTACAAGACCCCATACTCTGTATTTCCCTTTCCTGTTCTGGAATCTCATAAATGCCTCCAGATAGAAATCGGGAGTCATAGAGTTTCTTTCGTTTATTTCCCTGCTTTCAGGGATCAGAGTCTTGGGAGGCCTGTTGTCTGATTCTCTGAGACAGTCGCTTAGAGCAACTCTCATGGCTGGAGGTGAGACTCTCCACCTGTGTAATTTAACATTTGGGCTTCATGGACATTTTCCGAAATCTTTCAACA